GATGTTTGAAACTAGCATATGCCCACATATCACTAACCTCAAAGTCGAATGTGCACATGCTTGGCAAATTGTTTGGCATATATTATATGAAATTGGAGCTTTACTTCTCATGTCATTATAAGATTCTAATTTGTGACATGAAGAGGTTTGTTGGACTTCTTTTAGAAATGAACTTAAGGAAAGTTAATTTGCTTGTGCATTACCTCCTTCTTTTATCATCTTTAAATTGGATGAGATATTACTTGAATTTCCAGTGGGTACTACGGGACTAAGACCTATCACGAGATATCAAAATTTACTCTATAAAATGTTCAGTGTATTGATGTAAAATGACATTGCAAATATATTTTAATTCCAAAGGTTGTTAGTGCTGAAGACATCTTCGAATTCTTTTTCATCTTATATAAGACAATTTAACAAAGAAAGCTCAAAGACTTACTAAACTATGTCCTAATACAGAAATGAAATTGAATATGAACCTTTTTCCATAACGCAATTGAATGGAATATGATATGATGTTTATAATAATTAAACATTTCAATGTTTGTTATTGGGATATCATTGAACAGTGCACACATATGTAGATGAACCGCATAAGCTCCTTGCTTCAATAAGTCTAGGGAGAGTACATTGAAAGAAGTCAATAACCTTTTAGGTCTTCTCGATCTAATGTAAGTCAGTTTGAAACCTACGGTTTAACTCTTGAGATTTTACAAGGAGAAAATTTTTTCATGCTGATGTGGCCCTATGCAGAATTCTGACCATCTCTCCTATGGCCAGGCGATACAAAAAGTTCAAAAATCAAATAGAATCTAAACATAATAAAAGTCGCTAGTAAATCTCATCATCACTTCATTTTCCATACGTTCGTGATCTCTAATGATCGTAGATAAGCAGAAAGTAAGGACAAATCGTAGAGTTATGGTTTTATATTGATTTAACTCGATAAAATGTCAGTTGAATCAGAGTTTGGTGATGAGAGATGTCTCGTGATCAACTTCTGGTGATGAGAGCGTTAGCGATGTAAGATCTAAGTGAAGATAACTAGCGTTGCCTCATTCATATTCAGTGTTTAGAGGTGTAAATCATTATCATAGTATCTAGTTCTGTGTTGGACAATATGATGGACAGTACATACATTATTTTTCGTTGAGGTCTTCCTTTATACCTTGATAAATGAGAGTTTAAAGAACTCAACGAGTGTATCGATTCAATACAGATTTCAAAGAACAATGCTATCAAGCAGGAACAAACACTCATACATGTGAAGATTCGCGGATGGGAGATTCAGCTTGTCCATATTTAACAGATTAAGAATGTATAGGCTACAAGATTCTCTGTTGGGCTTTGGGTCACATTCAACAAATGCATATTATTTATTATTTGTCAACATGAAAAAAGGGTATTGATCAACTTTACTCAAAGACGTACAGTTTTCATTCCGAAAGTGACTTCGTCAATCAAGCAACGAGTCTTGCATGAGTGCCCATAAAAAGCCTGGATATGGTAAAGTTTATGTCACATAAAAAAACATAAAAAGACAAAAAAAACTCGGACATGATTACATCTGCAAAGGGGATTAAAGTGGAAAAGTTGAAGGTTACAAGTGGCAGAAATAAGTCTCCTACACGCAAGACATAACAGGACGTCTGAAAGAGGGACAAAAGTGTTCAAGTCACAATGTGGAAATATATATAATATTAGTCACTTTTCAGCATAGTGATATTATGCGTGAAAAGCGAAATATAATTCCTTCATATCTTTTGTTCACGTTTGAAATGTGGAAGGAAGTGTCGGTGATGAACTCTTACATCGTCCGATGAAGTCCGATGAAGACGTCCGATGAAGTCTGAATATGGAAGGGAGTTACTTCACAATGATTTTAACTTCGTCTGAATCAGCAACAAATCTAACGTCGATTTTTTATTCCTTATCGATCCCGGGTGGAATAGGTATGGGAGGTAAGATGTAAGTTCCTATCCTAAAATGAATTCCCAAAATCTTTTATCTGTAGTCTAAAGGATGTTTAATTTTTCCGTTCCGAGATTTTTAGACCATCAAGTCAGAAAATTAAATAAAATATTATCTTTACTAAGTATTTTGCAAATTTGACCTGGGCTTATCCAGCCTTGTGAGAAGGAAACGAGAGATAACTAGATTTCGGGATTCCACTCACAAAAGAATATTCTCTTTCTTACGTCAAACAAACTATTGTTAAACAATTCCAAGATGGGTCGATATTTGCAACCTTAATTCTGCCTCATGGCTCACCCTGAAATCAACATTCTTATGATTATATTACTGGTTATAATTGAGCAGAAGTGACATTTTGTCGTCACAATGAATAACCGGAAAAGAACGAAGCAGATGAAGAAAAAAAGTGAAAAACAGTACCGTGTCATATCAGTGTGCTTCACTGTCGTATTAAGGTGTACCATCTCATGTAGGTCTGAGGTTGAACTAGATGAAAGGTGATTAGACTTAAAGGCAACGATCATGCCTATAACGAGGTTTATCAACAAGTAAATGGCAATATACGATATGGATGGTGTGTGAACAGTCTTAAGAAGTTAACATTTTGATAGTGAGACGCAGAAAACACCACTGCCAAAACTATCCTCCATTCTCCTTGTGCAAGTTATTGGTACAATTTAGGTGGTACATCAGATAGATATGTGAACTTTGGACAATCCTTTTATACCATTGGTGGTTATGTGTTTTGATTGTATTTGCATCACATATGAATACAGAAATAAGTTATTTTTTTACGGCTCACAATCTAGTTTTCTTATCTGTGATGATAATGGTATTCACTCTTTTGACACTAAGCAATCCATCGTTCTGTAGATTGATCAAGATTGTGTTATTTTGGGTTATAATAAAGTGAAATCTAAGCAAAGGAGCACATAAGTCAGGATGGCCGAGTGGTCTAAGGCGCCCGACTCAAGTTCGGGTCTCGTGAGAGGCGTGGGTTCAAATCCCACTTCTGACAATGATGGTGGTAGGAATGCTGATAATGTGCTTTTGCCATGCTCACTGTTTTCCTCCTTTTGAATATGTCCACTTTCTGATCCCACATGTGTAAGACTTATCGCCTACAGTTGGATCAGAATTTGCTCGTGTTTCGAAACTGAATTTTTTTATTTTTATTTTTTCACGTTGAAGATATTTTAATATTATTTCAAGGGTAATTCATATGATTCTCTTGAAGTTGACTTTTAAGTTTGATGTAAAATTTGAATACATTTTAAGAAAGAGAAGAATCTTAAAGAGAAGTTCAATAGAATTCACGCAGTTTTTCTCACAATAAAAATGGAGACTTGTTTGATAAGTCGAAAGTATTTTTTTGAGATCCATTTCAGAAACTGAAACATTCAATAAATTAACTGATTTATTAGCCCAATAAACATTGTTTAAATGTTTATAATTGAATATATTTCTACTTTTGTATAATTTTTTTTGTAACATAAACAAACGCTTGAATTTTTTCTAACAAGAAAATAAACTTATGTGATGAAGCATGAAATCTCTCTTACTATATCATATAAAATATCATGACATTTTTGTGAAGAGTTTCAGAATTAAAAGGAAAAATTCAGAAACAGAAATAGAATTTTTAGATGTTATAAGAAATTTCAAGTTCCATAGATTTTCACATTCTTGCAAGAAATTAAAAATTTTAATTTTAATTGAAAACTTTGCGCATTTAGAATATCAAATCATTTGTCAAGACTTCTATTCTAAAATTCTGATAGTAAGTAAGTCCTATGTTTAGTTTCATTAATTCGAAATAAAAATAATGACATAATCCAAACTAACTTCTCAAAGTGATAGATGTAAAATAGATATATGAATTTTAAAAAATTTCTCGTTTTTGTATGTATTATGTGTATTATTATATTGTTATGTTCAGAACTTTTCGTTTGAACACATTTATCATTTCTCTACTCGATTTTCTTTTAAGTCTTTTTACGCTTCGGAAGCATATTCAATGTTGAAAAAGGAACAGATACACAAGTTGATCATTTGTTCTACATTTATGAATTTCTTGTACATAACTGAATGTGTGTGTACATTAAATATAGTATAATATAGAACTACCACTTACAAAAATAGTAGTTCAAATCTAATATCGTTGTCAATATTGTATTGACGTGGTTGTATCAAAATAAAATTATATTTTATTTATATTTCAATTTTAGAATATTTCCGTGATTCTTTTTACCTTTACATATTTTTTGAAGTTTTCAATTTCAAATTTTGGTAAATTTTATTTACTTTTATAAACAAATTTTCTTAAGCCATCAAAAGATGTATACCTACAATTTAATTCTGGACTTTGATATGATAACGTACAAAAAATGAGTATGATCTGCATATGCTGTATAAAGAGAGACAGAAAATACTTGAATCTTTCATCATCATATTCCCAAAAACTTATAAATAAAAGTGTAATTTTTAAGTGGAAAATTTATCATCTCATCTTTATTATGTTTAATCTTCATCACAATTCTGCTCGTACCAAAAGCATGATAAGGTGACTATTCTGATGCATACATTGAAAAAAAATTACGTTTGTACTCATGTATTCATGTGATGCAATATAATATAATCTCAGAATGTTCTGGACGTAGATTGTTCTTCAAGCCATGTTCAGAATTATGCAACAAAGTTTCTATCTACACGTCTGAAAAGAAGATAACCTCGCTAATTCAAGTTCATGATCCCCTCCGTTTTCTTTCACTGGATTAAATGATTAGCCTTCGCCATTTGGGTTTGAACGCCTGAAGGTCGAGCTGCGAGAATTAAATGTGATTGCTGCAGAGTACATCTCCAGAAGCATTGTAGCACCACTGAAAAATACGCTCATTCAGCACAAAAGGAAAGAGAGGCAGACAGAGTTCCAACAGAATGGACGAGTTCAAACCCCACATAGTCAAAATTCGTTTAAGAACGAGAATCCAAAATTTGATGAAGAATCAGCCCTGGATTAAATGTTTAGCCTTTGCCGTTTGGGCTTGAACCCCTGAAGGTCGATGTGCAAGAATTAAATGTGATTGCTGCAGATTACATCTTCAGAAGCATTGGAGCACCACTGAAAAATTCGCTCATTCAGCACAACAGGAAACAGTGGCAGACAGAGTTCCAAGAGAATGGACGAGCTCAAACCCACATAGTCAAAATTCGCTTAAGAACGAGACTTCAAAATTCGATGATAATAAATCCTTGGAAGGGAATCTTCTTCTGGGAGGCATGTTGGACTGTACGGCATGTCACTCCTGATCATCACTCACTGCTCTGTCCTTGTCTTTTGGCCTCCTGGTAGCTTGCTTTTCATGGCGCTTTTATTCCACGCGTCTCCCAATCTTTTCTCGACGGGACGGACGGGATGAAATACCATCTCGTGCCTCGATCCCTACTCAATGTACACCAAGCTGGTTAGAGCCTGGTTAGTGCCGGGTGCTGGTCAGGCTGGAGTCTGGAGCAGAGCAAAGCTCGGGGACTTGACGGCAGTGGAGGAGGCAGGCAGAAGGACTGAAGAAACATCCCCACATAAATTTTGTCTGTACAGTATACGGTAGCCAGCCGGATCCTAACCTCAGGTGCAAACCAGAGGAGTAAGAGAATCTGGATAGCTACAAGCGTCGACCGGCGCCACCAGTTGAGTTCAGGAAGGGAAGATGAAATCCGGGTACGAAGATGTGACGTTGGCGCCGCGGAACTTGCTGAAGTCCAGGTGGCACTTCTCTTTTAGGTTGAAGGGCGGGTCCAGGAACTGACCCGTCAGCGCGAACGTGGCCATGACCCTCGAATAAGCTTCCGTGTCGTGGATGCCGTCCCAGTTCACATGCTGATCTGGGTCGGCGCAAGCGCCGACCGTCTTCGACTGCCCGTTCTCCGTGTACGCAGCGGTGCACGAGCGGCTCTTGTCGTAGTTGTACCTTCCTCCGATTCCGCAACACGCCCTCAGCAGCTTCTCCTTCGCAAATCCTGCGCTCCAAACAATTGCGTTGCCAGTGTGAGCGAGCGACGAGCAACAGATTTCATTGCAACGGAGCCCAAATTGTGCAGGTTCTCTTACAGCAGTTCCGATGGCAACCGGTGTGCTCGGACACTGATCATTGCGTCCTGCAGAGTTTTGCTGTCTACGTGAACTGTCGCCAAAATCTGCTAAATGTGTGTTTTCCTGTAAGACTCTTCCTCGAGCAAATCCGACCCTCTGATCAGTGAGAAGGAATGAATACTTCTACCCTGGGAAATTAGCTTCACTGCACATTTCTCTCCACATCATGAATGGATTTTGTTCGTAACAAGGGTCGAATGAATCAGTCTTCTGAGTGCGAGTCTGAGTACAGTTTGAATTTGTTTTCTCGAAGAGATCTCTCCAGAATCTATAGCCAATTGGACCCGCTGGTCTTGGAGCACTCCCATGTCCTTTCTGCGTGGAGGATCTCTCGCTGCGATCAACCCTCCTGCCTGCCTGCATTGCCACGGGGCGGAGACAAGCGGGAATAGAAAGTATTTCATCACACATCGGGGGCACGTCGGGGATCGATCGATCTTCTGCGAAATGTGCTCGGCCGAGATTGCGACCAGGAGTGCGTGTACCCGTGGAGTTGCACTCAAGGGTGTGGAAGGAGATCATTGATAGTCCTCCATCTTTTCCCGGAAATGTAATTCTTCCTAATCACCGGAGGGCACCGGGTCAGAATTACGCACCGTACTTGGAAGGAGCATCCCAAACTTCTCTCTGGGCGGCAGCGAAGTCGAAGAGGAAGATGATTGCCTCGGAGAGATTTGCCCGAAGGTTGCTGGCCACTGTGACCAGATGGGCGTTGAAAGCATCGGAGATGTCGTTCAACTCTCGCACACATCCGTGCTCACTCTTGTGGAGTGATGTGTCGTTGGCGTATACCGTCAGAAGCTCCGGAGCACAACCCAAAGCCGGCGACTTGAACAGAAAGAACTGTCTGGCCCCATTCCCATACATAGACTGCAATGAAGGATCACATGGATTAGCGCCAGCCAGATCTGCTTTCATAGCCAAACCTCGTGAATAGAATCTCAGCAACAGAAACGCTGGGAACTTCCTCCCCTGAAGCAGCTGATGACATAAACTGCAGCTTCGACCACTGCACGAATGCGGGAAGACAGAAAGATGTAGACATTGTTTCCTCACGAGCGGGCACTTCAATTGCTGCACAATTGGAATGGGTGTACCTGGACCGTGTCTCCGATGGCCGCAGCAAGTTTTGCACTGTAGACATCCCTAGCTTCAGACAGGGAGATGGCTCCTGTCCTCAAAAGGTCTGCAAAGTCGTTCCTCAGATTGTATCTGAATATGTACAGCCCTTTGTTGAACGTTTCTTCACTTTGTGGAAGAAACGCAGTTTTACACGACACGATCCCTGCACATTCAAGTCCCGACGTTCTGTTAGTGTTCTCATACAGAGATTCATTGCCATTCTGAGATGCCCTCTTTGCTGTCAGCAAGTCAGCAGGGCACATTGTCACCCAATGCAGCGATGAAGGAAGTGGCGGACATGAGGAGGAGAGTGCTTGCTTACCTGTGGAGGATTGTTTTAGGACTCCGAGAGCATCTTTCTTAAACTTGAGAAACAGCTGTTCTTGGACCTTGATATGGTAACGAATCAAGGAAACAGGGTTGTCGAGAATCGGGCTTCCAGCATAAGCAAAGTTGGCTCCTCGGCGGAAATCAGCAGCAACGCTTCGAAAGTAAGGCGTCAATAGAGGAAATTGGAAGGCTTGAGCTGCAGAACAACGACACTGGTCATCGCCAGAACTCGACAGGAATATCACTCACGTGCAATCTCAAGTCACATCACACACACTCGGGCGAACAGTAAAATGAAACCCTGTGTCTTGACTTGCAACCATCCGCAGATAATCAAACCTCAGGAACTTCTGAATGCAACATGGGCTTTCGAGATACTGACAGAAATAATCCACCAACACTCTGCCATCGGCAAAGCGCCCAGACGGAACTCCGAAGAAATTCATGCCATACGGCCATGACTCCACGCTCAGGGTACCGGTATGTGGGAGAGAGGCAAGGAAATTTCCCGTATCCACCATCGAAGCTCCGAACACAAACAATGCTTCAGGACATTCATAACGGAGAAGCAGCGTGTTAGCGTGAGGAAGATGATAAGCGGCTTGAACTGTCCCAAAACACGCACACAGCATGACCATGACCAGCAACACCAGTCCTGGTGTTCCTCGCAACCTCGTCATCTTCGGCTGTTCTCTGAATGAGGGTTTCTTCACTGGAACGAGCCTGTAATGAGAAGCCATGAACATTCTGGGCTGGGCCTGAAGGTCCTTTCACCACATTTATATCAAACTGGTTCAGGTCACATTCCCCCGGCGTGTACGAGAGTACTACGGCGATCTCTCACTCTCCAATTTCACGTGTTCAAGTCAAACCCTTGCAACACACCCTCCAACCCTGCCGATTCAAACAGAACAGCCTCTTCTCAGTCGAGAATCTGAAGAAGTGAAGATTGATCTTGATGCACGATCCATATCTGCCCGGTGGAATCACTCCGAGGCATTGGGAGAGTCATGCCGCCTCAGCTGCACTGCACTCCAATTTGTGAACTTAATTTAATCTCATGAAGACAAACCATTGAGATTGCCGAGAAATGTACACGTGCGGATGCTCACTTTTGTCGTGCCTGAAGACCGACAAACGACGACGACAACCAGGAGCCAGCTTCATGTCCAGGGTGAGTCGCTCTTACGAAACCAACGTCATGCTCATTTTCCGTGACCTCATTTTTTTCTTATATTTTTCCCGACTCGTGACTGAAAGCCTATTTGTCTCTATTTGTGTCCGACATGGATCCTTCCATAAATGCCGGGGACAGAACGCATCCCAGACAACTCCTTTCCCGAAGCCATGACGGATAGCTTATACGGCTCCGTAGAATCTGTAGGGCAAATCGTATGAAGCCTTATGTCTCTTTAGCCTTTCAAAATCCGGTTAAAAAATTAATTTATAAAACTGGAAAGGTCAACAAGAACTTGCACACCGTAACGCGACGTTTAGATAGTCTGAACAAATGTCTTCCGTAGCGGGGCAACTCAGTTCTGGCAATGCCATAAAGTGTCACTTGGTGTCTGGAAAATCATAAAGGGTCACCATTTATTATCTGCTTTATTGAAACCTTCCCAAGGCATCCTATTCTATTCGAAAGATGCTGATCAAACAGTGTACAGTCCCGTAAAATTAAGTGATGGGGCCCCCCCGAAACTGGACCCATCGCGTATAAATGATCGCGTAATATATGATACGGTATCATATTTTATATAATGGACCCCACCGATAACATACCTTCATCAAGTTCTAAATGAAGCTTTTGTAACTATATTCTGCTGCGTATTGTGTGGGGTACAGTAGTGACTTCCTCCTCTTCCTCTATGAGAAGAGGGAAGCTCCAATTTGGTTGCAAGTTTTGCAAAGGTAGTACAACTGAGATTGTATCAGTTCTCCTGGACACTTGAAACTGTAAAATTCATTTGGTAAATATGACTAGATTAGTTGTTTTGTCACCAACAAACTTCGACCATCATCACAAAGATTCATCTAAAAAAAATTCGTTCAAGTGCAACACGTCCTACATGACCACTGGTTGCCATATTTAGCTCTTTGACAGCAAATGTGTAGGCGGCAGGACTGCAGAACCTTGTGAATTCGCCGTCGCTCGACACAGGCGAGCATTGGGAGCGTCTCCATATTCAATATGCCACCTCTTACCAACAAAGTGGAAACTGTTTGTACTTGCAATAGGTTGCGAAGATCGGGGGACATCGTTGAATTCATACGTCATTGCGTATGTCGTCGGTCGTTCTTCATGGACAACACTCTGATCTCGTCTACGAACGTTCGGTCTCCTTGTGGCGTCTGATTCTTCTCATGGTTCCAAAGCTGATGTAAATCCTGTGAGCGATTTCGATTCTGTAAGGAAAGTTTTTCTTTCGCCACGAGGGTTCTTGGACTCATGTTCATTAGCCTTACAATCGGGACGCAATAATTTCCAATCTCTACAAGCTTCTTACTTTACAAACTATTCGATAATTATAGTCGATATGAACATTACTATTTATATCTCTATTGCAAAACCGTACATGAAATTTTCATTTCATACGGCTCCTCAGTGGTTATTTAAATATAAAAAATATATACTTTTTTACCAACGAGATTCTGTTTGCTATAAAATAAAAGCTTATGAATCTATCTTAATTTTTACAATTTTGGCTAGCGCTAACTTTACATTAAAAAAATTTATATTGTTTTATTTATAAAAAAATATAAATTTTTTTTATAGAAGAATTGTAAAAAAATTATTTCGTTCCTAATAGTCATTTTTGTAATAGATAGGTTTATACTTTTAATTGAGATTCAAAGGAAGTACTACTTAAAAATCTCTACTAATATTAAGTCCTTATTCTCATTTTAATATATTTAATATATTTTTTACTAATTTTTTGTGTATTTTGGGTTTTCTTACCTTCTACTCTTGCTTATTCAATATATATAATAAAATTATATTATTGATTTTTTTTTTCGCTGTCAGGACTAGATCGCTACTCTTTTACCTGGAAAATATACTTTTTTTATTTATTGTATATAGCTTTCACTCTTGTACAAAGAGGATGGGACTTGATTTTTTTACTGCAAATTCAAATGCTGTTTAATCTCACCCATATGACTATTTAGTTTTTTATTAAACAATTAAAAATTTTATTACTAAATTTTTTTAAGTACATAAACAAAATCAGCAGTAGGAGAAAGTTGCTTTCTTTCATGAGTTGCTCTCGTCAACGGTCCAGTGTTCATGCTACGTCAAAGATGTGACATCTTATCTGATCAATACAGTGCCAATACAGTGCCGAATATCGCTCTCTGCTTGCTTTCATATTGTAGTGGACGCTGGAAGAGGCCCTCGGTGCTTTAGTAGGTTCAGATGTCTGAAGAAAATTACAAAACGGCATCTCACAGTGTATTCCCAGTAGATGAAGTAGCAGGACGGATCCGAAGATGTCAAGAAGAGACCCAGTGACTCATCTCACTGGATGAGTAAATCAGAAGAGATCAGCTTGCGAGACTGAGCTAGAGATTTGTGAATTATCTGTCGTCGTCTTCTCCACGTTCCCACGTTTGATCTTGATCTGGGATGATATATTCTCTAGTCACGCCTAGTGTCGAATCTGCCCTTATGAATTGGTACTGACATTGCGATGAAGCTAACACAAACCAAATCTGAGGCCCATTGCAGAAAGGCGAGGGAAATTTGCGAAAGCGTTCAATGTACATGAGTAGCGGTGGTGCCTGTAGCAGTAGTTGAAGTTCCCTGGACCTTCGGCCGCGCCTCCGATAATTTAGTCGAGCGATGAGAAGGACTTGTTTCAGCATTATATCGCAGCCGATCTTCTAGTGCATTGCAGCGCACGCTGTTGGAGTGATTTCATTTGCGAACTCGCATGGTGCAGATCATTTTTGTTCAACGAGGCCACGATGGTCGAGGACGGTTCACACTCTTACATATTATTCAATCTCATGGATGAAGCAGAGTAGGAAGCGGGGACTTATATTTTACATATTCCGGATTACTGCAAGAAACCTGTTCTCAAGTTGATTTGAGACGATTATCTGCTTTAAGTCATGAATCTTAGGTCCCCCACTTGCTATAAAAGTTGGCCCAACTTCCTTAGATTGCAGATGTGATGAATCGACAGCATCAACATTCATTACTATCCCCGCTCTTGGCGGTTCCTCCTACTGTCGCCCGCCTGTAAACACCCTTTAGAAATCATGTTTTATCCCTATTAGAATATGGGTGATGTGTACCGTTGGTCTCCCATTGGATAAAATAATAATTTCTAATAATTATCTAAGGTATTCAAATTTTCATTTCGTTTGTTTTTTAACTGAAGAATTGTCTGGATCACCATCTTGCTTATAAAAAGACTTTAAATACAATGTTGTTTTATAAATCCAAATGTGAATCTTGAAAGTTAGAACTGTCATCATCATTTTCTTTATCAATCTTCATAGTATCCAAAAACTCTTAAACATAATAAAAAATTTCAGTTACAAAAATTTCATTACTTTTATCATTGACATCAACAAATTCTTCAACCTTTTCTTGTCCAAAAAAAATATTAAAACTACAGTAATTTCCAGATCGATTTCTAATGTCATAATCTCTATCTTCACAAACATATGTTTTACAGAGCTTGATGGCAGGGATCGCCAAGTTTCTTTGACATAATTCTCAAAGTTAAAAAACTAAGTTGGATCTTTTGGAATGATGAAATAAAACCTCTGCAAAACAAATCCAATCCAAGCAACGGAGAGCAAATCAAACCCACCATACATGAATGCGGATGAGAACAACCACTCTGAGTCGAATTTGACGAATCTCGCGCGCTTGTGATCAGTCCATGCTTCCTTTGACATGTCTCAAATATCACTGAATATCTCTCTTGATACGAATCAAACTGTAATGAAAAGAATACTCCAACAATTTCTGGACAGCAGAGTTCCTATTTTCTCACGAAGCAAAAAAATTAGAGACTGACGAACACATCCTGTGTCAAAGTCTTGATCGCGAAATTTCTATTCTAGAGCAAAGTCCAAGAAAAAAAGAATTACAAGCTGTTTACATGAAACCCGAAAGTACGCTAAAGTATGCACACTTCCCGGTTGAGTACGCAAATTACTTTTAGGTTCACTTTGATGAATTGAACCTAAAAGTAACGAGAGATTAATGTTAGCGGCTTGCTTTCAATTTCTCTAGCATAAAATAGTTGGCAATATGTACACTTCATTCATAATTTATGTTATGTTAATTCAAGTTGGTTAGAAAGTAAGGTAAGATAACAATGAATGCATGTTCCGCAGTTGAATAATAGTCGACATAAACTTAGAATTATTTCACCTCAAATGTTAGAATGGTGATCTTCTTGTCCACTTCAACAACCTTGACTTTCACAACAATGAAATTGTCATACGTATTGTAAATATAGTTGACTTTCTCCTGCGCTAAATCATTTTTCATTGAATTTTATGCATATTGATTGGGAGTATACAAACCAAATGCAAGTTAAATTCTGAAATTTCAACGTGAAGTTGCACATAGAGAGATTGATGATATGAGAAGTTTCTGTTGTTGTTTGCTCATGCGAGAGATTTGTTTTAGCGCAATGTGGCATAATCTCAACTATATAGGTAACTCACAAACAATCAAGTCTTTACAATGGTTCATTTCCAAATGTTGTGTTGGATGTCCATAACCATGCTTGTGCTTGCATATATAAGATACAATGATGTGTAAGGTTGAGTGAACAAATTACATTTTGGTTGTCTAATAAATTTTGGTTATCATTGGAAAAAGAACTACATTTCTAACAATTTTGTTTACATATTTAATCATCATAAAAGCATGTAATATTTCTATTCATCATAAAACATCATCAACATATATTGGTTTAAATTTCTCTTGGATAGAACTTCAATATTTAATAGCGAGTGATGACTAGAGATCAAAAAATAATTTTTAATATTATTCCAAATTTTAAGTTTCTTCTATATGTCTAAATGTTTTGTAAGAAAGTAAATATGCTAAATTTTTTTTAGATATTTCAATATAGAATATAATTTTTCAATCGAAAGTAAAGGTAATATACATAGTGTTTGATGTTAAAATAATGACATTTAGACATATATATATTTATTCTAGAGTTGTACAATTTATTTTCTGTGTGAAGAACATAATTTCCTTCATTGAGAAAAACCATTCAACCATATAACAATTCTACATTTTACTATATTGTTCCAATGCTTAGTTCTACAACATTATTCATTTCTATCTTTCACTGATGACTTCCAACAAACAAAGACTCAAACAATCAACTATGGTCATATTTGAGCTCCAAGTAATTGCAGTCACATTAGTAATGGATGAAGTAAGTACAATAGCCTTCCAGTTAAATATCCCCTCATTTAAATACTCAATCGGGATAGATATGCATAATTTTCTCTAGTAAATGGAGATCAAAATTCATTTAGTTCAAAATGTCATAGATTGCCATTTGGTGGAAGTTTTGAACATTTTTGTGTTTAGAAATCTACATTTCATTTATGTTTTTCCATCTAGCATTAGGAGGTTGTTTTTTTGATAGCAAAAAAAATAATAGCGGAAATGTATCATATTGTATACATTTTCAGATGAGATTATCTAAAGCTTTCAGCAATTGACTATCGAATTTGTTGATTTCATGTCACTATACAAGAAGCAAAACCAATTACAACGCAATTTTCATTGACTTGTGATTGATTTAAACGAAATTGATAATGAGGCCCTATCCATAGTTTCAATCGAAATGTAAATCATTTCTTTAAACTCAATTAAACAACCAACAATATTGAAATATCTTCTCTTTAGCTTCATCAAATATTAAGTGAGATATTTTGGAAATTTATAACTGTTTGTCTCACATAATTTTTATAGCTGCTTCACTTCACTAACATCGCACTCGTGAGCTAGAACCCTTTTACTTGCAACATGGATGTTACTCAACTTATATCACATAGGTTAGATGCATTTGGTAGTTTAGTTTTGACTTTTTTCACCATTCAATTGAATCAGAATATTAAGAAATGATTTAATTAATAAAAAATTGTGTACTTATAAATTTGAAACACTGATTAGATAATTTTTATATGATTTTTGTTCCAATTTTAAACCTAAAACAAGATTTAAATGTTGTATATATATCACTAAAAAGATTTTGTTATTGTTGATAGCTTTTTACCATGTCGAGTCTAAGAGATTAGAATCTCAATGATTATTAGTACACCAAAAAAAATATGACATTAAATATATATACTGCAATATAACATTTTAGTCTAGTTAATAAAGTTTTAGGTTATCTTATAGAGTGTATGGAAATAATTTTGATAGATTTACTCTTTCTATTAGGAAGAGATTTTACTAATATGCACCATCAAGATGACTACACACAATAGTGTTGTTTTAACATCAAGCAAATCAATCTTTCATTTTTTGTTTGCAAACAAGTAAAGTATTGTTCATATTGTCAGTCACTTTATCAACCGAGCAAGTATATCAACAAAGTCTACGCTCTCTGTTTGTTTTCTTTAGCAAACTTTCTGGTTTAAGGCTCAAAATTTCTCCTCATGCTCTTATTTTTGAACTATAAATCCATTATGATGTAATTAGAGTGAATCCAGTCACAATAAAACTATCTCCCATGTCTAGTTTTTGTCAATTGATTCAAACTCTTAAAAGTGTGATTAGATCTTCATGTACTGTCATCGTCTATAAATATTAGAATTTATTTAGAGTATTTGTATTTAGAGTTTGAAGATCTTTGTCTCATCGAATTACACTTGATACACACAAGAATTCTTTGTTGTCATTCATAAACTCATCAAGTTGAAAACGATTCAGCTTCATGAATTGTTGCTTCAAATCGTATGCTCTCTTCATCAACAAAATTGCTATCAATGCCGTGTGATTTTTGAACCTTGGGTCACATCTATATTTGAAAGTGATATTGATTTTGAGTTTGACATCATTTTTTCAAATTCAACTTGTTCGGTAGATAAATTAGCAGTTGGTATCATTTTTAAAACTTCAATTTGTTCATTATCTAAATCCAAAAATGTTGATCTTCTATTTCTTTGTCTCTCCATCATTACTTTGAAAATTCAAATTTTGCTGTGGATTTCTCTCTTTACCTTCATGAAATACAAAAACAACATTCTTAAATAATATTTAGTTAATGCTACAAAATACTTAAAATTGCTTAGTGAAGTACATGTCAAAGTCTCAATTACATTTGTGTGAATTAATCCTAATTGTTCACTAGCTCTGTTAGCTAATGCTACAGGAAATTGGACACAATCAAGATATTATAGATCATTTTGATCTTGTTTATTGTTACTTTTCAAAGGTCAAATTTTTCAAGCATCTATCTCATCTTCAGTCGTCAAATTTGATAATTGGACTCCAACACCAGCTTGTTACTCTCTCTTGCAAGCATCATCTCGCTATCTTTATCCATGATGAAGTAGTACCCACGAAGAATAAAAAAATTTAAAACCCACTTAAGAAAATAGTATTGGAGCTCACTATTTTATTTTCACTAGTGAACTCATTCCTGCTCTGATACTGAAAGAATCAAATAGTAAATAAAACAATATTCACATATAAACATATATTTATTATGATTGTGTTCAGGTTTATACATTCCATACTCACGGAACATGGATCACTATAGATCATCTCATAGATACTTTGACTTTGCAATTAACAATGAGATAACGAGAAAATTAATATAGAGAGACCGAGATACTTGATATGGAGACCGTTCCCTACTAGAACTGTAGGAGGTTGGCATAAGTATGTGCTAGTAAGTTAGTGTAGGATTGTGTGTAGATTCCTGGATCATGACCTCTAAGGTAATGTTACTTTCAACAAGCTCCACAATGAAAGTCTTACACTTTAAACGTTGAAGACGGCAAGACTTCCAGACTGCGCATGTCCAGTATGGCGTCTATGGCATCACTTAACTTCGTATCGAGGTTTGTATCAAACTCAAAGACTCAATTATATCCATCATTTGTCTTTTTCTGCTACCTGCAGATGAACTCAAAGCGAATAGTATAACATAGAATCGCAGCTTGCAAGCAAGAAATTGGCACCTGAAAGTGCAAAATAACAGCAAGCCTGTTTGATAGTCGATTTACATTAATTTACATTGCAGGATTTCAGCAGTACTGACTTCCAAAGCATTTCACGATGTAAGTTGCGTGATTTATGGGAGCAGAAATAAATGCCACAACTACATTTCCCAAAGTTTTACTTCAAGACTTCAGTTTTTCATAATAAATTTGAGTGGAAGGCCACGCTCTATGACAATGGCTCATATGCTAAATAACTGAATGTATTCAAAACCTCAGCTTTTCCTCTTTTTGTGATTATGCATAAATTCTCCCCGGAGCTGAATTGTTCCTAGAGGCAGTTCATCCCTCCAGTCCCCTGCGATGGAGGCAACCGGGTGCCGGGTCATCATCGCCGAAGGTTAGTCTTCCAACGGAACCATGGATGAGACTGAAAACCTTGATTATTGCATCATGTGCTATTGCACAACGCACTAAGTCTTGAAAGTGATTCTTCGTCTCGAAGAACATGCAAGCTGGACATTTCAAATCCAGCCAGTACCATCTTCAAAATGCACTTTACTCTCACGATGCTTTCACCCCATCGGTCAACGATCATAGATGATCTATCGAGAGCGAATGCGGTGATGGAGAACAACATCAGATGAGGAAGGATAAATATAGGAGCCTGAGACTCGCATGCCTCTGATCGATCATTATCTCTATTTTCCTGTAACTGCCCCTGTGTACTCTGTGAATATTGTCTCACACCTTGACCACGGGTGCTTGTCAAAATGTGATTGGATTTGAAACTTCCTCGGCATTGCTTCATACCTTGTACCGTTGCTACCCTGCCCGATGTTTGGAGCTAGCTTTGGCTGAGAGGAAATCTAGAGGCAGGGCAGTACAGCAGCTGATGACAATCACTCGTGGACCTCAACAGACTGCCAGATGCCCACCCTTTTCTTGGCAACTCATCCACTTCCTCGTTGCCGAAACTTTCAAGTAGGATCGAAGGCCTGAGGCATAGCATGGCTTTCGCACATTCTTGCAGCCGACGTCTGATTCTCCATTCAAGTCCATCATCCTGCAGAATTTTCCTACCAGCATCTCTCCGATTTGTGCTTTGTAGTTGATCTCTTGCAGACCATGAGTGCGGAGGTAGTTAGAGCTTGATCGATTTGACACTCAATTGCTGTCCATGGATGAACATAGAGAGTGTATCATGGAGTATATCTAAGTCTGATTGTTGAGACCCAGGTTTTGAACGAGGTGGCAATCTTGACGTGTGCATGCCACCGTTCGAAACAAGATATTTTTTCAGATGGTGGAGATTATAGATTCTAGAGGATAAACTGCGTTCGAATGGCATCCAGGTTGCTTTCTCTTATTTTTTGTGGCGATTTGAACGGCGTCAGTTCCGGTTTCTATGGACTGAAAATTGTGGAAACTTTCTAAATCATTAAATCATCAGATAGAAAATGCCTCGAGGCACACTCAGAACGTCCTTATTTCTCTTGTTCACACATGAGAAAGAAACGAACCCAAATGGCATCAGAATTACCACTATTTCACCTGTTTTCAATTCCAATGTTCTGTGCTGTGGTAGAATCTGATCAGTAGATGATGTGCTGAGTTTATGTATTAGATAGTGTATAACTAGAGTAGGATCAAACATTGAAAGCAGGAGGACTGTGTTTTAGAACTGAAGCGCTGCCTTGTACAGATATCATCTGCAGGCTGTTTCTACTGGTGAGAGATTTCTGCACAGGCAATTTCCCTCCGCTTTTAGACACAATCACAAGTGCGTCAGATTTATTGAATGCCACATGTCTGACAAACTCTCCTGAGTTTTGTTAGTCTGCGAAGTGTTCATGACTTGGATCTATGCGTTGTGGTTTCAGCTGGTGGTACATCTGTGAAAAGGTTTGCTCCAGTCCAGAGGAAAATCTCCACAATCGTTATTATTTTCAAGGGGTGCAAAAATTTCGGGGCGAGCCTTTTAATTCATTTTTCATTGGCCACGGATCCCATCGTTCAGAGGGAAAGAAAGAGCATGCACTGCAGTCGCCCTCACCGACGATGGAACTGATTGGAGGGCAGTCTTCCTTCTCGCCATCTCCTCCATAAATCACAGAATCTACGAAAGGGCACAAATTTTCAGAGGCGAGGAATTGGCCATCGCTCAAATTCATCCGCAGAATATGCACTGACAGCTCCGTGCCCGTCCATACTGTGGGCGAAGAATCGTCTGGTGACTAAAGTATTCCCACCGATCGGTGCTCGTTTTCTCAAACCGATGTGTCGTTTGAGAATTCTGTCCGGGCTCTGTGGAGCAGCATGTACCTAAAACGCGAAATTGACGAGCAAAATTGCCGCAAATTCGAGAAGGACTCCTGAACGGACCTGGTCCAGCACAATGTGTAGTCTTCGTCTTGAGCCGTTGGCGTGAGCCGCTTAATCTGTTTCAAATTTCAAATTTCAAATAGAGTGCTCCTGTTTCAATCTGGACACGCTGTTCCTTCGAACTCCACCGAGTACAGATTTAGATTTAGAACGGATAGACTAATATCTCTCGAACTACGTCTTGCAAGTCCAGAAAGCACGACGCAATTGATGGTTTCGGGCAGCGCTGCGTTGAATTCTTCGCCTCCATGCTCCACTCCAGTCGAGCGTGATCGGGTGCCAAAAGCTGGGCTTAAACCCTGTGCTCAACCCTCGCGTTCACCAGAGGACGCAACGCTTGGGGGGAACCGCGCTCAATTGACGATGGCGGGCGATACGCAGATACCTTGAGTCCACATTCCTGTCTTGATCACCGGAGGGAACATCGGCCAGCGTTCGGCGAGGTTCCGATTCGAGTCACCATGGCGGCCTATGGAGGAGCTGGTGGGTACATGTACGACTCGGGCCAGAGCAGCGGCTCGGACGACGACAGCGGCTCTGCGCGATCGCCAGGTCGTGGGCCGGCATCTTCCGGATCGCAAGGTTCAGGCTCTGCGCGATCGCCAGGTCGTGGGCCGGCATCTTCCGGATCGCAAGGTTCAGGGAGTTGGCGAGGTGGGTACATGTTCGACGACTCCCAGAGCTCTTCTGACGACTCAGGGGGAAATGCGCTCGCACTAGCATCGCCTGGACGAGGAGGACGACGAGGCCGTGGATCCCCACCACCACCGCAATGGCAAAGAAATCTGCCGGGGACAGTGTGGCCGCCATTGCCGGCGGATTACTTCGACGGAGTTGCGGATCAATTCTACGGCACGTTCGGAGTCCGCCCGAGGCCTCCGCCGCTGTTTATCCCCGCACCACTGATTCAGCCTCCAGTGCGCAATGCGGACGGCGGCCTCGACCCCTTCCTGGCCGAGGATCACAGCCCGCACTTGGGGTCCGGATCCGACGAAGAAGAAGATGAAGCAATTTACGACGTGAGACAATCGCCGCGAGTCGTTCCCAACCATGCCTTCAATCTGAACCGCGACGTCTTCCTCGCCGAGGCAGGCGAGGAAGTGCCGCATTTCCAGAGCTGGGAGGAACGCGAGCAGTGGATCCGCGAGGCGAAGCTGCTCATGTACCTGCGCGAGCGCGAGGAGGAGCAGCAGGCCATCGACCACCGCCGCCCCAACATCGAGGCCGGCCTGCCGCCGCTCTCGGAGGAAGAGCAGCGGCGCAAGCGCATGGATGAGTTGCTCCTCGCGTTCGAAATGGCGGCCGAGTCGAGCAACGAGACCGGGCTCTCGGACCCGCGCCGCCCGCGATCGCCCAACCGCCGGCCGGACTCGGACTACGAGGACACCGCCTCCTCCGTCTACCGCCGGCACACCTTCGAGCCCGCTACGGCGCCGGTGCGGCCCGCCGAGTTCCCCTTCTCCGGCCGGGAACTCGCCAACGAGGAGCCCTACAAATACCCGTACTACTGCGTCCTGGTCGGCGAGATCAACCCGGACTTCGAGTCGCAGCGCGGCGACGTGATCATCATCCACCCGGGCCACATGGGCCGGGGCCGGCAGTTCCCGGAGACCGGGTTCATCCACACCGTCCGCGGGCCTCAGGACTTCCAGCAGTTCGGCGTCATGCACGGCGACCTGAACCTCCGCATCGGGCAGTTCGTTTCCGTCGTCGCCGAGTTCCAGGCCCGGCCCGGCGCCAGGCTGGCATACGACCCCTTGAAGGCGCTGCTGCTGCACTCGTACGTGGACCTGACCACGCGCAGTCGCGTCGACCCCAACCGCCACCCGTCGGTCCTCGCCCGGTACCTGGGCGAGACGTACATTGCCCACAACGTGACCGTCGACACGGTGCGCAGCGAGAGCAGGGTCCGCGAACTGCGACCGGGGACGGATGTCACCAGCCACTTCATGGCGCGCCTGGGCGACATCCTCATCCTGCCCGGGGCGTGGCAGGACAACTTCAACCACCGGCAGAACTTCCGTCGCACTTTGGTCCGCTGGTACGAGCCCGGGCGCCGGGCGGACAAGTACCTTGTCCCCGGGGTAATGCTGGTCCGGCCCTGCGTGGACATGGAGTTCCGCAGCGGCGGCTACCTGAACCGCGAACTGATGCAGGCCACGCACCGCACCGACCCCAACTTCCGGTGGGGGTACGTCGAGCTGTACTCGCTCGGGCAGGGTCGAACCAGGTGGTTCTACTGGGGCCGGGACGTAATGAGGCCGACCTACGCGCTCGGCAAAATCCCGAAGTGTGTTTTCTACTGCGCTGACGACTAGTTTCTGTATGTTTCTGACCCTTGGCATCCCCAGTACAGGCTAGGCACGCAGCCGGACTCCTGGTGAGAAATTATCCCGATCCGAATGGCCGTTCCGATTGACAAATCCCTGGGACCTAGTGATCGGATTTCTCCTTTCCTTCGTTTAGCCTCTCCCTGCGAGTTCGATTCGAGCGGCACCTCCTTTCACGGGTTGTTTTCTGGTGGTTTAGAACTGCACAGCCTGCGGACGTAGTAGCCTGAGGGCCGATCCACCCTGTTCTTCACCTCTGCTCTGGCTCCGACACGAAGGAATGAGGGCCTTCGAGCTGCACCACAACGTTCGCTAGAATTCGCACAGAGCAGTCCGGTCCAACCGTACGAGACAACTAGTACACCAAGGCAGAAAACACCACGCCTGAAGGGCACACTCCCGGAACCCACCCTCTGGCCCCGCAACTTCAACTAGTATCTCGTCTCCGTCCGTAGAGCCACGACATTGTGCTCTCACCGTGCACCTGTAGGTGCTGTTACAAACTCTCACACCCGTCCCCCGTAGGCGCAGTAACGATATTTGATAGTAACGCCAGAGTTAGTAACACGCGCATGTGATGCGCAAGGGTTAGTGGCATACGACGCATAGATAATCTGCGGGTTCATAAACATAAATGCGAAGTGAGCGGGTTCAGTCCTGCCTACCATCACTAGGATATAAGCAACTTATACGGAGTTTTGGTCGAAAGCACAATCAGTACGTGACTGTTTAGATGGCCTAGGAAATCTCACTGTCAAAGTAAAACACGAAACAGGAGATCGTACAAGCATGCCCATAACGAATCTCAGTAGGATAGAGAAAGGTACAGCCCACCAAAGGTGAAACGAACCAAAATCCACCAGTAGATGGTTTTCATACTATTATCAAGAAAGGGACTGTCATTCTTCTTCCCTTGAAAAATTATAATACAGGTTCGGTGTACCGCCCGGCAGCTCGGCAACTGATAACTGCAGACTCGCCCTGGAACGGTACGGATATTCTTAATGCTTTAGTGAAGAAATCATTCGTATATGTACGAAAGTGCTTGGATGACTTAGAAGACTTCTAGGGTATCTGGTATCTACTGTAACTGTCTAGTACACTGGCCTCATAAAACATCAGCCACTCCTAGCGATCCAGCCTTCTCTCCGTAGGGTGAAGCGCTCAGCACCTGTACCTTGTCCCCAACAATCTCCAAAACCTGAAGCAAACATTGAATTGACGATCAGCCTGGACTCTTCACTATAACTGCAGCTGCATGATCGCAACAAAAGCTCACGCGGGAAGGGATACAGCGCGATACAAGAGCGGAGCTAGACTTCGATGACGTTTTGAGGTAAACCAGAACAGCTTTCGAAAATAACATGCCTATAAAGGGCACCTGACTCCATCACGGCGGATTGTTGCCTATTTATAGGATTCTAGTATAAAAAGGGAACAGAATCTCATCTTACGCCAGAATCCTTGCAAGATATATCTACGCCACCGGACGGAAGCACACGAAATAAGACTTCGCAGATCCTTCTACTATAATTGACATTCTCTCAGCACATGTATTGACACAGTACAGATTGACATGTCAATGTGTAGTGGGTTGAATGAGCAAGACATAAATTGTATATCAGCGTTAAAAAGACTGTTCCGACTAGGTCGAAACATTATCTCTCTTATTCATAACATCAGTACGTTCTAACATTCTTGAAAGAAAAAAAGAACACAGGTGTACGGAGAGAAATTTTCCAACCCTAGAGACTTCCTTGACTTCTTGGTGTTTAAAACCAATGCAACAAATTACTTCTTACTAATCTGTGAAGGAACCTTCTTAAACGTCCACTCAAGCTCTCTACACATGTCTTTGAGATATTAATATTCACATTCATCTACCTGAAACCGTCGGCTGTTTCTGGCCGTGGCGTCGTTGAGCTCTAAACAGGGAGTAATCCCACATAAAGGTGGAACGATTACTCGAGGTTTGGTCGCTGTATCATGAATCTAAAATACTGGAACGTACTTATGATTGACGCACTTTCACTTAGAATTAGAGAGATAAAATGATGTCTTCAGATAACAAAAACATTCATGTTACAGAAGTCCCCACTCACCTCAGGTTCTGCATGGAGGACTCCACTTGACATACCAACATCTATTCTCCAAACTCTTCCTTTAAACTCGCTGCAATGTCAAAAACAATGAGATAAATGGCCAAATTCTTCGCTTATAATGTTTCACTTTCTCATGAAAAAACTTGTTCAAATTTGGAGCTTCGTATGAGGCTGAAGGGAAAAACCATAACTACAACTTCCAATTGATCTCTTTAAACACAGGTAGGATAGTGAATAGTACCAGTTGGCACCAAAAGGTTGAGGGGTATGGCCCACAATTAAACCCTTCGCATTAGCTGCGTCCAACGCTGCTTCTAGGACCGCACCCGCCTGTTACTTATATGTTAGTTACGAGTTGGCGAACATGCAAATCACACATAAGTAACAACACATACATCAACTCGTAAACTTTCATCTCGTAAGACCACACTTCATGATTCTGCGTCTGACAATATGCAATGCTAGTTCAACAGATACTTATGGTCCAGTGCATAATTTCGATCTGTAAAACAAAAGATAATCCCATAAATTCGACAGCGATTCGCTCAGTATATCTCCATGGCTAATAGTTATCCCAACTTACTCACCTTCACTTTGTCCTCCGGGCGATCATATTGATCTCGTGAATAGAGCCGACTCCATACTATGCTGTCAAAACCCCTAGTTGCGATGAAAGGAAGTTGACCTTGCTTTTCTGGCTTCCCTCTCATCCATTGTGTGACCTCTTTGTTTATCCTCTCTAATCCATAATTCACTGTTGAAACAAAAACACACAATGCCTTGAATTGAGGTCCTGATAAATGAGATATATAACCTTCCATGATTGCATGCAATAAGAACGGAAGATCTGGGAATAACAAAAAGTGCTTACCGTGGTGAGGCAAAATACCACCATGAGCGAAAAGCCAGTCATTTACTTTAAGTACGACTCCATGTCTGGCTAACTGCATCGCTATTGGACCGCCAGGATTGAGAAGAAGTGCTCTGCTTGCAGCTCCCTTTTGCAACTACATATCAGAAACATGTAGAAAATAGCCCTGATTAGATAACTGTGTTCTAATTGTCATAACAAGACTAAGGTCTACGACTCGTCCATATAGTTCAATTTGAAGCCGCGATGGGTGTCACTAAAATTTATGTCAAGCCCACTATGTGTCTATTCACAGTGCACGCAATAAGTTTATCTCTATCAGACAATTTGTACAAAGTACTTCATCGATTTTTTGAGTGTTCAATCTTAACATTTACATGCAATTTGCTTACCAGAAGAGGATTGAGCAACCAGCTGACAAACTTCGGCCGTGCCCTGTTGGCCTTCCTCTCTTTCGAAGTTCGGTACCATCCTTCGAAAGCAGCTTCCCAATCCCCAGAATGCTCCTCCTCACAATAGCTCGAAAAATTGGAACATTCTTCGTAACCACCAGCTTCAACAAATCGGTAGTCTCCTCCAACATTCATAGTTTCGTGATTACCATTAACCTGTCGAAAAAGCGCTCATTACAAGATTGTAACCTGATCTTCCACTTTAGGTCTTAATGTAAGTCTTTACATACAGTCCTCACAGAAAAAATGGGGAGTATGGACCAACCAAGGTCCCAGTAGTCTTTTGTTTCTGAAAGGTGTATCGATGCAAGATTATTTACAGAATGATTCTCTCGTACAGCAACTTACAGCTACCTTCGTAGGAAAACCACAACCAAGGACGTGACACGAAGAACATAAGATAGGGCATTCCAGCTTCCTGAAAGAGTATGACTAAATAAAATATAATAACTGTGTCTCTAATATCCTTCGATTATGGTGCCTTTTGATTGTAAAACAAAACTGCGATATTCATTGATGTCCCTCGAAACCAAAATATGTAGCCTATTTATATCTCACATCCCAAGGGATGGTAGACAAACAATGGAAAAATGCGTAGTGCTAAATGAATTTTAGTAAAGACAAAAAAAGGGGATGGGGACTACGATTAGGAACCTGAAACACAGCCCCACCCTTGAGGAGTGCTTGCTGTCCAAGATTATGCAGCAACGACAAAATTGCTAATTCATCCTCTCCCCGGTCCAAAATGTCTCCAACTTGCACCAAGACCTGCAAACCAGTACGCTTCGGTGAATAGCTATCTCGGCGTGTGGCTTCAATGTGAACGATTGTGTTGCTTATAGAATTTCCAAATAGGAACAGATGAGACATTCTTGAAAAAGAAGCGTTACTCACTGAGGATCCTCCGACCCAGCGCCCTTGGCCATCCGAGCTCAGAACTCCCGCCAACCTCAAGGCCGCCTCCGTCCGTTCCAAGTCCCCGTGTACATCCCCAACTGGATAAACTATCCAAAGTGAGTACTTTTCCAAAAAGAGTACAATCCTCTAATCTCGACTGACTATAGAGAGTAGCATCTTCTGACGCCATAATGCACTTGGGTAAAGTGGATGATCTCTAAACGATCAAACATAAATCCACAGACAAAATCATATGTCCATTGCGGTGTCAAGGTCATGCCTGAGTTCATCCAAAACAAACAACAATCGTACTGCCTACTTTGCTCTGTTTTGTTAACGGAGAGTAGAGTGTACACATACTTGCAACGATACGACGACCAGGGGCGTAGATGGAGGTAGGAGGCTCGCAACCGTCATACTGAATAGGGTCTTTCGGTCTACTCAAACTGTCGTCAGCCCATGCCATGTCTTTGTTGAATTTCCCAGCCACATTGACGGGGGAAGATACGTCTGAATTTGCGAGCCTGGCCGCTGAGCACAAAAGAAGCTCTCTGCCTTTGCTACGCTTCGTGGAGGTTGGGCTCCCCAAATCATCGGAAGCCCGAAACACTTGAACTGGTGAGGTTAAGTTATATCTTGTACTAGTCGAGCTCCAGTAGTCACATTTTTCGACGACAGAGGCTGAAACTCCATGAATTGATTCCGAGTGAGGAAGGTGCGGGGATCTCAAAGCAGAGGGGAGGACCCTGTAGACTGGAGAAAAGACTGGCGATTTAGCACCATTGTGAAACGATTCTCCTGAGACGCCGTGTTGTGATTTCAAAGGACTAGATAGAATGGGCACAGCAAGCCCCGTGGGGCAAAGACATGACGGAACCATGGCGGATCTCTTCTGAGCTGTGACTACAAAGACGGGGCAATGTCCCTCTTAGCAGTTCAATACCGCGCTCTCCTCTTCTTGCCACGCACACTTGCCGCACCCTCCACTCTCCGTCCACACAAATTTCTCTGCCACAGCAATCGAGTCGACAGAGACCGAAAAAATACAAATCTCCATCCCCTAGATCTCGACTTCCTCACCAATTGGAGGCCCCCATCGCCGTCTTCACGCAACTCCGTCTCCACTGCCACAGCCTTCTAAAATACGATCACTACTCCGCAATTCGAACCGCACTGCCACTTCACGAGGCCATGAATCCGTAACCTCGTCCGCACCCGCTAAACTCTCCCACACCTTCCCTCTCAAATCAACTTCCAAATCCCTCCCTCGCTCCCTCGCTCCCCCGCACCGTCGCTGATGCAAACCACGCCAAATCTTGCACGAGAGGAGCGGCTCAGTAATTGCTCGAGGAATGGAAATTTCGTCCTGGCCTCCTCCTACTCCTCCTCCTACTCCCCTCGGCCGCGACGATGTATGAAGGACTTCGGGTTCGGGTTCGGGTTCCGACGAATCCTCCCGACCTCCGATTGGCCGCTGGCGTGCTGCTCGCGAGGGAGGGAGGTGCTGGAATCTGGACTCGCTCTCGCTCTCGCTCTGCGCCCTGCTTCGCTCCCGGCGCGGGCTTCGTGGACGGCCTCCTGTCCCGCTTCGCTTGCTTGGCTGCGCTTGCTGGAAACGGGAGCTGCGAAAGCAGAGGCCCGCCCGCGGCCTCGAGAAAAGGCTGCCACCACGCACGTCCACGTCCGCGTCCACGTCCGCAGTTTCGAATCATTGCTCCTCGCTCCGATTTAGCGCTATTCCTCCCATTTCGGCCTTTTATAGCCATCGCTACACGCCGTTTTCTGCCCTTTTTCGGCCCTGCTACCGTCCTCCGCCGCACGATCGCGCTATCGGCGAGCTTCGAGTTCCCTCTTCTAACTAGAATGCCGACAGGCGAATTTAAGGCGAGTACCGGATGGAAACATGTAACAGCATATTACATCACTTTCTATCTTATTCGGTTAGATGAGCTATTACTCTTACATGATGTAGAATATATAAAAATTATGAATATACTACTCCAAATGTACACCGAGAGTAGATTGTACACCGAGACACCGATTTGTTGCATTCTACTCCGAGAGTAGAATGCAACAAATTAATCGATTTCTGGAATCTCCCTGTATAATTCAAAACTTTAATCGTTGCTGCCTCAAGTGGGAAGTCCCAAAGGCATGGTTGAGCCAGTAGTAGTGATGGACGATAAAAGTAGATATTTGAATAAATAGTTGGGTCGACGAGAATGTACCAAACGCGGGATGACTTAATAAATTAACGTCATATACTTTCTCTGCGAGCAATGTGTTTGGGTAATGTGAGTACCTCCGAAGATACAGAGGCATAATAATACAATACTCTCAAGGATGGAGATCAATGTCGAATGAGATATTCCTCTAATACATTGACTCCTACAAGCCTACAACATATATTCAAATAGTCAAGAATAGAAATGAATGATTTGGTGTATTCCAAAGAAAGAGGGCAAAGAGAATGGCAACAAATAGATTTTTTCTGCATCAGAACTGCGGGGCATAATGCTAACACTCCACCCTCGCATGGGTGTTCAATAAATTCCTATCACACTTTACAATTAACCAGCTAGTCCGACGCTTCTATTCTATATATGGCTTCAAGATGTAGGACCACCATATTTTCCTCTTCTCTTCTTGTCCTCTCTTTCCTCCCCACCTTAACTGTGTTCTGGTCTCTTCTTTTACTTTGTAAACCACGGGGGGGGGACTGCCAAAAAGTAACCTAAAGGAACGATGTGAAATTACTACCCGTGATGTTAATGGTCTACCATCTTATGTCTTTCACCATGCCTTTCAGGTTTTCTGTCATAGAGCAAGATGGAAATAAATAATTCATTGGTTCGTTGAGTTTTGAGTTCATTGGCTTCTTACGCTAAGGAGGAAAGATGACCACTGTATATGTAAGCAAACACATTCATCAAGTATGATAAGTATCCAGATTGATTGATGAAGTTCGAGGAAAGATGTCCATCAACAAGGTGAATCTGATTCACAAAAGATTTGACGCAAAGAATACATTGGCTGGACCATGCGAAATGCATTTTCGTCGCCTGAGTCCGATATTCTATTCTATAAGGGAAATTGTTCATGCTCAAGAACTACCATTAGACTTTAATTTGTGCACAGTTGATTCCTTATTGACCAATTCACTCCGACTTTTACGCTAGCCTGCTGTTGATCATAAAGGCTTGGTTCTTTTTCAAATCAATCCTTGTCTGTTATTAACATTATTTCGTCATCGTTCATTATTTTTTCTTTGGTAACTAGGTCGTCCTAGATTTTCTTTCAAGAGTTGAAATTTCAGAACAGTTCAAAATGAAGATTGTATTGACCACACAAGGCAGCTATGTTACGAGGGTAGTTTTATCGCACCAAAGTCCACATCTTTTACATAATCCTTCGATCGGCATGACAAATTTCAAGTTCTGAAGATTATTTGCTAAAGACACATTACACTCAACAATTCTTTCCAGTGGCTCGTATTGTCCGTAAGGCACGTCGATTCCACTCAGGAGATAATCTAGCAAATACAAGCAGTGGCAATGCGACTTCTTGCTTGTGTTTTTAATACACGTGAGTAATATAATGATTATTCCTTCATCCTACTAACTCTTTTATTTATTCATTCATTTTCTTTTAGATTACCAGAACATGTAAACATTTCATTAAACATTTTCTTTTAATACCAGAAGTGTCGGAATCCTGGATGCCAATAACATGACTACTTCAAGTCATGCACCACTTGCAGCACCTGACGTAAATATCGAAACAAGGTATATGAGAAGTGTAAGTATTAGAAAATACATGTATATACAACGGTATTATTGAGTGCATTCTAGTACCGTTATCACGCGCTGTATTGTTTATCTGCTTGCTAGCCTTTTAGTTGGATATTGTAGGCCACAAAATTAGATTGCAGGTGCATGTGCATGGGCCTTCATACAGGCGGTGCATGGAGAGCCATACGCCCATCAGTTCCACACAAATCAATAGATCTGGATCATCTCTTATCGCATTCTCTCTCTGCTTGTGCACGTGAACCAAATATCTTTATTCCTGTTACATATCAAGCTACCACCCAGTCCTGAAAATAATTCCGAAGTCAATGCATGCAAAACGTGAAGCCTCAGGTAGTAAGCCTTTTCTTGTACATATCAATCTCCTTCAAAATTTAAAATGGTAAAACAAGGAGCTTCAATATTGAAACCTGAGGTCTCTTAAGCTGTTTGCTACGTTATCTGCATTAGTATATACATAGGTTAATGATTGAGGCACAACGATATGAATGGATGCCCCTCGAACCGATCGATTTTAATTCCTATATTGTACGCCAGCAAGAGCATGCTTTCGTGAGAGCTCGTGGTACAGTCTGTTGAGACAATCTTTTATGGACTTGAAAGTCCGGGAGAAGCCCATCAATAGGAAGGAAGGATGGGAATACCCCATCGAGTGCATGAATGAAACCGAAGGAAGCAAGGTGGGACTAGGCACCGATATGAGAAGATGTGCTATCTTTTATCGAGGATGCTGTTGATATCCAGATCCTCAGCGGAAATCGCTTGTTTCACATGGAGTTCTGCACTGCTCCGAATCGAACATGGAACATTGCAGCGAGGAATCTCCTCGGGATGTCAGCAACGAGTCCACAGGAGCTCGAAAGATCTCGAGACAACCCGCCGACCAAGTACATGCATGAAGGACACGGTGGCGCTTGCACCTCGATGCCACCAACGACGTTGCAGTAGCCATCGCAGTCCAAGTGAGCAAGCGGCCACGTGTACCGCCAAGTGCCGCCAGTTTTGCACCGTCGTCCATGTCAGCATGTGGCCGCGGCCGCGGCCGCGGAGGCTATTCAGCAGCCTACCTGATCCTGTTTGAACGTTGGACTGTCGTGTAACTCGCATACGGGGACCTGGGTTATCTCGGACCGTGAGGTCGGACGAGGACGCTGTGGACCACAGCGTTTTGCTCGTCGGACCATCGGGAAGAAGAAAGAGCCCTCGCCTTGCTCCGGTCCCGTCCGTGGTCTCTATGCAGTTTGAAATCCCGGCGTGGGCGGCGCCGAAGTATTTGGTGACTCGCCGACTTCTAAATCTACCCAGGGGTGATCCCATGCACCCAGATCAGACTGTCGCATCGGCGTCTCTCTCGGTGGTGAGCACGGCAGCAGCTCACGCAGATGTCAGTTGGGCTTCAGGTTTCACATCAGAAACTGTCCACAGGTTTGAGTTTTTGCGCAGGTTCGAAGTGTCCACCTTTTGATGTTTGGAGTGGGGAAATTCTTGGACGTGTTAATCCTGCCAGCTTCTCATATGAGGGATTGCACTGTCTGTCGAACCGAATTGGACTCCGTGGTTTCTTTTGAGAACTGATGCGAATGTAGCCTCGGCTATGTTTGGCCTTTTCCTGAGCAGAGAGCGGATCTTACGACTATTTTTCTTTGGCTTCATGTATGACGTAACGGAGAAAATTTTCACGAACTTTCCTCTTTTTTTTCCCCCTTTTAGCATTCTAGATTAATGTCTAAGGAATTTGATCTTTGGAAGGTAGTGTTGGTTTATCCGTTCTGGGGTCGTTCCCTGTAGATTGGTAAAGCAAAGTCGCTTGCTCTATTAGTACATTTGCCAGAAATCTTGAATATTTGGAAATCTAGCGAATTTGATTGCATACATGGATGCAGCTTCTTCCAGTAATATCCAGCGAATGAAGCAAGTAATTGCGGGACTGTTGCCTAAGGTAATCTACGTGCCTCCATAACACCCCTATAGCCTGTGGGCGGGGAAGCCACCGTGGTTGTGTTTTTGTCTCTAGTCAATTGCTTTGGTTGGGTAAACACCCAAATATTTTTCGTCACTTCAACTCAGAGCGCCCCCTTTTTCCCTTTGAACCTAGACAAATCTGGGTTTGAACAGAGAAATGTAGAAGCTTCATAATGTGATCACTACGTATAACCTTTTCGCAGAACAAGATGACACAGTAGTGGAAATCTTCATTTCCCATTAAATGATTGTGGTTGACATGCCTCATTCGCTACTCGTTCGCTCTTATTGGACTACCTTCTGAATCCCAAGAAATAAATTTCCTGCCAATATCTGGTTATTGTAGAAACAATGAAGAGAAATTACGAAGCGATAAAGAGGAAATTTTACAGCCCGTTGATGACCCAGCGAGCAAGCCTAACTAGTATGCGTGAAGAGTCCAGTTTAAGCAAGCTGAACGAAGAATCGTGCACAAGCGAACCTGATGTAAGTTACTGTCAATCGGCCAAACATATTTTACCGGAGTAGATCGCCGTTAGTGAGTCTCCTGTGGCGAGAGACAAGTACAGAAGTAATGCGGCATGTTCAAAGATTTTCGTACATCTCTCACAACTTTGGTTTTTGAAAGAATCAGACGTTAGAATTTGCGAACACAATTTCAAGCTCACAGCCTCAAGGCCCAGAATCGATCAATGCATGCACTCAGTCACGTGTGTCAGCTCCAGAAAGTGGAGAGAATGGCAGCAGGGAGACGGAGAGTCCGAAATTCCTCTCTCAACTGGGTAAAAGAGCAGTTGTCCGTCCATTATTCCAGAAACCCCAGCGGTAAGGCGAACACTGTAAGAGATCCAAATATATCACAAACACGATCGACATGTGTTGAATTATCTTTGCAATGAGACAGAATACGCGTGCTCGATGCTGGTTGTGAATTTGAAGGACGAACTTTTATTGATAGATGCATATGATTCTGATATATCCTAAAGACAGGATGATTTAGTGAATCAAAGCTTGGATAGGTTTGTTATTCCACTGTTGATATTGCGTTAGTATAATACGTCCAAACAGTGCTGAGTTCCATTGTAAGGCGAGTTGAGAATTTAGTACACATAAATGCATGGATTTTGCCTAAAAACGAAATCTCTTGTTTCTTGGCTTCAAGTTTTGAGCAACTGTCATGGGATGATCTTCATTGCAGACAATCAAAACTACAACGGACTACGCTAACCGCTGGCCAAAAACTTACTGTCAGCCATACTGAAGACGTTTTGCAACAATTTGAGGATACTTTGATGCATCCCGTGACGCCAACTTCGTCTAAGGAAAAACCTTTTCTGGTACGCTTGTACAAAGGATGCGAAAGGCCATGACACCTACCGGAACTTACCATCGCACTGCATATTTAATAACAATGTTCATTAGAAGTTTGTTCTGACATTGCTAGTGTTGGAACATCTATTTTTGAGCTAGGACTTTAAGCAATAGTCACTGGTGACACTTCAGTGCTCCTTCATGGATTCAAGTAGTTTTTTGTCGAGGGTACGAGAAATAATGCAGTATTTTATTTGTCTGTCAGGAGATAATACCATCATCAAGTATACCAAACATTGAATACCTAAAGATTGGCAATGAATCCAGCTACTCTACAACTTTAGGTAAGAAATAATCTCAAGAACCTCCTAGGCATTACACCTTTTGTGTTATGGTACAAATCATTGGAAATCCATAATATTCTGCATGACTACTTTCTACTTACTCGGAAATTGTAAGATCTCACAGAATAGCGAGTCAGATGACTTTGCAGTCTGACAATGTTTTCGGTCCCAGTGTCTAACCTGGCAGGATTAGTACAGAAGCTACAGAAACCGTCCGAGCAAGCTCTCCAAGTAAAAAAAGATGTGGTGCGCAAGTTACAGATTCTCCTGGTTCCACGTGCGTGTCCCCGTGCGCTTGGAGAAAGCTCTGGAGTTTCCAAGCATTTTACATCCGTCATACTGACGATACTCGGGAATCCCAAAACTGGTAACCATGCGGATCGGTACGAAGCACTGTAACCAGATTTTCGACTTGAATACTACAGTTGTGCATGCACAGCATGCCCGTGAGGGAATGAATTTAACAAGGGTGTTTGTTCCATTTCTGTGAGGTGGCTTTACCACGCTTGAGTATATATGAACCATGTACATTCTTAGTCGGCACCATGACAAGATCAAATGTTAAAGAGGTTTAGAATCGTATGCAGTTGACATGGTTCTACCTCATCTTGTCATTCGATCCATAATTGTCCTTCACCTAACTCCCAGCTGCTATAAATATTGGACAGGAAGTTCACCAAAGAGGACAACATGTCCACAGAATGGGAGGGCGCCTTTTCCTCAAAACATCCGTTGACAAGAACTGCCAAAAACTGCATGCTTGTTTTAAAGGAGAAAAACTCAGAAGAATCGCTTTACGAAACTCAGACCTCGGAATTCCGCGGAATCTGGTCTTCAAAGAACCTGCAACTGGCAGAGGTTTCGGCTTGTATGATGCAGAGTGACTTTGAATTTTTAACTCTCATTCAATAAACAAGCTGAGTTCTGTGAACATCCAGAAAGTACACTGGGTTGAAAATTTTGTGCTTCAATCAGCCTAAAGCTTGCATTTGATTGTGAGACAAAAAAATCAGATCTTTGTGTGTGCAGCGGCATAGGGAGTATGGGCAGATGACCACAATTTGCTGAAAAAGTTGAAACTTCGTTTGACCTTCCTCCTCTAATCGTAGTAGTACACGGTCGAAGTTTCTACTTCCTACACTTCTGCGGCCTGCTTCATCAACAAACTGAAAGCTGTGGAAGATATGGTCCACTGAGTCATATCGAGGCTCTGCAAATACTGCCAAGGCAAAAAGCACCGGTCTTCCTGGTATTTACCTAACCGTTATCATAACCTGTTGTATTGCGGTATATTCATTAAAGCTCATTTACTATCTCCAATATTCACACAAACGATCCTATACACTATCTAATCTTCAGAGGGACCTAGTCCTTCAGTGATGGTCCTTCCGGTTCAGTTCAGTTCAGAGTGGACATATCCAGAAGTAGGATGGACCAAGTCTTTTGTGTTACAATCGGTTTTGTCACAAAAAATTCGAGACGAGCAGTACACAAAAGAGGTTAACATGTTCATCTGATTCACTGGCCGCTAGGAGACTCCACATATCGCCATTCACTTGTTGCTATCCGCATTCAACACGAACTCCCCATACAAGTTCTTTGTAGCTATCAAAACTGTCATCAACAACGGGCCCATGATCGCACCCTGCAACAAGCATCAAGCAATAAGAATCAGATCGGGTGAATGACTTTTATCTGCATCTAGTCGATGATGTTAGTCAGATATAATCTAACATACATTTCTTCCTTCGTGCGATGTGTTCAGACACATTGCACGCTGAGGATCGTAGCAGATCCAGGAACCAGGACACATCATTTCAGAATAGGTTCCAATTTGCTGTGTCCCGGTGAATTTAATCATGAAATGGGGAATTGGTATCCTTGCATTACGAGTCCCAATTCTTTCAATTTGCAACCGTACTTTTCGTTCCGTTAGTGCTGCGAATTTCTTGACAATTAAGAAGCCATCAGTTCCTCTCACTGTGGCCGACTTGTGATAAGTAAAACTGCAGAGGAGGGCTGACAGAAATTCTCGTCAATGATTGACTGTGGCCATCGAACAATAAACACGCCGAGCATTGACATTCCACCGGTTGTCAACTTCCGCAAGCTTGACGATACGGCTCAAGGACCAAATTCGTGCGACTCGATTGCATTCTTGTATGGGCTGGCGGAATGAACAACAGCTGCTGCGGTGAGCATGAATGGGCGAATCGAGAAGAAGATAGAGGCAGCTTCTTACCTCTAGAGCCGGAGTGAAGAGCGCCATGCCGCCAGCGATACTGAGTCCGGTAAGGTAAGCGTTGTGCCCAGGAATTTCGCTGTGAATAGCGTCCACCCCAAAGTCCATAACCCATATATGTACACACATAAGCACGATAGCCAGCACATAGTAACCCTCCATGGCCAGTTCTATACCCATGGGAATCGATGCGACCCAGTTGGGAAACAGGGGGAGCACAGCCTGCACCAGAGCGATCAGCGTCGAGCCGTAAAGGAAGTGGATGTCTGCGAACCGGAAGAGAAGCCACGTGAAAGAAGCTTGGAAGAAGGCCGTCTTCACAGTCGCAAGAAGCACGCTGCTCACGGTATGATCCAGAACGTTGGCGCAGCTCTTTCTGGTGGTCTCGGACAAGGGCACCATGTCAAGAATTTGCTCCATCACTCCTCCGGCGCTGGACGTGATCAGGTAGTACAGCACGGAGAAGAAAACCACGGTTTGCGTCAGGAAGTTGAACAGACCGGCCGCCCCGGATGCAATGGTGCTCCAGACGAAGATGAGCATCGACGCGCCGCTCGCCACAAGGTTAGTGCCACTGTAAATGACCTTCTTTCCGACGTCCGAGGAGCTCTGAGCCAGCACTTTCGCCTTCTCCATAAAGTCCTCCCTTTTGATCTGGAAATGTTCCAAGAACAGGAGAAAAGCGGCCTCGATTTCCAACATTATACCCTGAACGTCGAATTCCCTCATCTTCGATTGCAATCCTCGCAGCTTCCCGACCAGAGGATGAGCCGATTCCGCATTGGCAGTTTTGTTGATGCGCTCGCCCTTCTTGTCCCTGTGTATGACTCCCATCAGAAACTCTTTGCCGACGTCCACCACTTCCGTCAAATTGTTGGCGGCAGCAAATGCATCGACCTGATGCATGAGTGCATCGTACCCCTTCACCACGTAATTGTCGATAAGCTCCGGCACTTTGTTCTCCTCGAGCCACTTGTTGAATCCCACGACCTCGGCGTAGTTGCTCTCCTCCAGATGAACCTTCAGCATCACCACAGCGTCCTTCCCTTCCAGCCCGACCTTGTACGAGAACAGAGCCAATCCGCCCACGGAGCCCAGAATCATCATGATTATCAGTCCTACGGCCACGAGCGTGTGCAGGCTACTCGCGAGAGAACGCGAGATCCTCTGATTCGTAGCGATGGACACTCTCTTGATGGGGGCCACGGCCCATTTCACCCAGCTCATCCTGCCGGCTGCCTGCCTGCCGTTCTGAGAAAGAGCACCTGTGAGATGGCCGACCTCCAGCCCAGTTCCTGCTGCATACATCAGAAGTCCGACGAAGGCCAAGAGCGACAGGTTGGCGGGTCCGAAGTACTCGAGCCCGAGCGTGAAGAAGGCGAAGGAGACGAGCCATTGGAAGAGCTTGGCGAATCCGACCGGCCTCGGCTGCCCTTCGCCCTTGCCCACAAAACTCAAGAACCCATCTCGGGCATCCAGCACGGTGCCCGCCAGAGCCTTGTAGATGGCGATTGGCGGGGCGACCAACGACTCGACAAATCCGACCTGCAGAGGCTCGTTCCAGAACTTGACCAGCGCTTCTTGCACCTCGCGCAGGGGCATGGAGCACAATACAGCCCACTGAATTGGCTTCCAAAAGTCCTCGAGCAGCCGGCCCACGCCGTAGAGCACCACCACCACGAGAGCCAATCCTGCATGGGCCATCGCGATGTAGATGGCCAGCTGGAAATTGGCCTCATTGAGTCTTCTTGGAATCGATTCTTCCGGAGGGAACAGAGGATTGTAATGCTCAATTACTCGCTGTTTGTCTTCGTCGTCAAACGCCTTGTCAACGCTGCTCTGCTTGCACGAATCTTGTTTCGCGTTCCGGGGAGTTCTTGCATCCCCCTTGTGCTTCTCCATCTCACGAGCTTTGGTGTCGTCGGCAGATCTTCCGAATGCGTTGTAGTGTAGCGCTGGGGAGCTGAACGAAGGGAATAGGCCAGTCGCCCGCGTGTTCAGTTGCAGTTTAGAAGCAGAATGAAACATATCGTTCCAAGATACAGGGCTGACGGGTCTGTTCCCATTCTCCACGTACTTGCCCCCCATTACTTGCTCACACGGGCTAATTGTTTAAATGCTGTTCTATTCATTGATATCCAGATCTTGAAGTCTTCTGAGGGCGGATCATCTATCCACTGAAACCCCTCGCTCTAAGCCCCACAGTGCATTGTTTCAGTTTCCCTTGCCATGATGCTGCTCCTGCTGCTGATGAAGTACCGAGCACTCTGCTGCTGATCCATTGTCCATATCTCGCACCGAGGTCATCATCTTCCCTGATCCGCTTCCAATTTCCTGATCCTCACTCCAATTCAGATTATTGTGCTCGATCGTCCTGCTCCGTGACGTAATCTAGCTCTGCAACCCTTTCGTCTCACCAAAGTGCCGATGGCAATTTTGGTGAGAGAGAAGAAAGAGCATGTTAACTGGCAGTTGCCAACAGGAGTCGGTTTAAGGAGGTGGTGGTGGCAGCTACGTCCCTTCGGCAGAAGATTCACAGCCTACGAAGCTCATACAAAGACGGATCTGCATTGACTGAACAGTTGAAGGGAATAATCGTCTTGGTGACAGGAGAAGATCAGCCATGACTGCCGCCATCAGCAACAAGACACGGGCTGAGCAACGAGACAGCGAGCAGCGCAGGATCGCGAATGAAACCAGCAGGGCAGCACATCTGTGTGGGCCATGGTCCTCGGTAAAGTGCTCGTGGCTCTCGAATAATTTACTCCTATTCAGAAATTCACTGCCTCCAACAGTGACCTCGCCCCGGAATGTGTCACGCAAGCTGTGCGACACTGAGAAAACACCTTGACCTTCTTCCTTCTTCTCTTTTTCGTCCGGTGGGGAGGAGGCCTCCACTCATCTGATGCACGACTGTCTGTGTTGGTGAGACAATCTTCAGGATGTACTGTGGCCATGAACGTAGGAGAGCGCAATCGGGAACAAATGAGGGCGAGGTTCTCTTCAGAATTCCCAAAGTCTCCAGGCATGATTGTCTGTCTACGTTAGGCACAGGAGGTGTAAGTTGTGAAGGCAGGAGCGGAAAGTCCTCCTGGTCCACGTGTCGGACTCACCACATGTACCCTGGGTCCCTGAGGGTGAACGTTCTCCAGCAGCCTGGCATCGCTAACATATGCCAAAGTTTGGCCATCACGATTCCAGCGGCTTCAGAACTTCGGTCTTCTTCTTCATCCAGTCATCCCCGCAGTAGGAAATGAGCACTGCATGTAGAGGCAAGCCTGGTTTCGCGCCTAATTAGGAGGAACTTCATGTTCCCTTAGTGGTCCGATCTGGCGTTTATCTGCCCAGGGAAGAAACAAAGAGCGAGAACGACGTGCGGGACAAAGTTGTAGATTTTCCTTCTGTGGTGGAGCCTGAGCAGGCTGACTGAGGACAACTTCCTTGCTACTGATGACCTGATCTAATTGCTCTTTTGCATCTTTTCACCTATGTGTCTCTTCTCTTCTGCAGAATGCTGTCCATGCAAGCGAGCATGCATTCTTCACTCCTTCCTTGCGTAGAACTTCTAAGCAACGAAAAGTGGAAAAGCTCATAATCTCCATGAGATGCATTCCCTATCAGAGAGCTTTCTGACTCAAACAATCTCCTCGGAATCTTACTATTTCTGGCTTGTGAAGCCTGTGAAAGCAATCGCGAGGTCCATCTCCAAGTCGCCTGACAGCCCCGACTGTGGCACTCTCACTGCGAGAAACCTCCAAAGTAGTCATGTAGACTCTTACCACCTAATTTAGATATTCTACCGTACGCATCACAGCCATGTACAAATAAGACTTAAGACCGACGAACAAATTCTCGACGAGATATTGATTTCACCCGTACAGTACTAAAGCTTGGACTCTCAACCCAGGTTGGAGAATTTTCGGTGGGTCCTCTAGGCACTCCTCCTCCGTGTTGTAAGGTGCGTTGCCAGTCAATCACTCCCCTTATCAACGAATGAAGACCTGCATCTGTCAAGACTGGTACATCTGACTTGTAGATCGCACAAAGGTATATTATTTGGTCCCTCTTCCCCGTAAGATCCCACAAGGGGAATGTAGTGATCTGAGAAAACAGATCCAAATAATACATTTCACCCGACGAACTATGATCTTGAGCCTATCGAGGAACTTTTCGACAGATAATTTTATCTCCCGTGTCTAGAGGTGATTGAATTTCAAGTCATGAATCGGCTAAAGCATGTATGGTACACTCTTTTGATCAAGTTTAATGTGTGAACATGAACCGAGTTCAATTACTCGGCCTTTACTTTCGTTGAGTTCAATCGACACAGTATTATTCCAGACAACTAGAACTGATTCTCCCGTGGGGTTAGATCTGATCTCGGGAACGACACAAATGGCATGGTTGTGATTTGATTGGTATACAGGTCGAGTGATGCAAACAGGTATAGGACAAGACTTGCTTTTACACATCAACAGCGTACACTCCCGATGCCATGATGCTACTTCAGATGAAGACCTTTTACCTCCAAATCACTGTAGGCCAGTGACAGGTGTGGAGGTTTTCCTCTATAGTGTTTGTGATTCTAGAAGGATTCATCAACTGGTCCATCATGTCCACATTCTCAGGGTAGGGAGGTTAGTGGTGTTGCAAAAAAAGCAGAGGCCGGGAATATGCTTGAAGGTCTGCGAACGCAAATCAAAGCTACCTGTGTAGGACCAGGTGCGTTCCCGCCTTCCCCTTCTTTATGCGGCAGCTTATCCGATCCTTCAATCATTCAACTTTTATTTCTTGTCTCTTTTCTCTTTACTTGAAGTGTCTGTTCATTTTTCATCTCTTGAACGAAGGAAAAAAAGAACTCGAACTTCGGAAATAACCTGCTAGAACCTTGCATCATGCTGCAGTACAAGGACGGAGGTGCTCAGATCTAGTGCAGGTACCGATTACTCGTTCTCAAGCCGGTCATGCCGTGGATTCTCACTACATGGTTCCTAAAACCATCATCAGGGGAGCACATTGACTCAGTACTAAAGCTTGCAAGCTTCTTCTGAGTTTGCCTCAACGCTACGGCCCTTATGAAAAAAACAAATCTTGTTGTCGCATCTGGTTTGCTGGCGATAGTGGGAGACCAAACAGAACCCTGACCATCGGGAGTAAAATTGATTCGTTGACGTCTATTGGTCTTTCTAGTAGCAACCCCTTTGGATCCCTTTGAGACCTAAAACTTATAAAAACTGCTGTTCAGTGTTTTTTTACAATGGAAAAAATGTCGGCTTTTCAACAATATAAGATTAGAAAGAGCGTTTCACAGCATATTATTACATGTGTCACAAATCATTTTCATTACAAAGTGTAGACAGACTTATCATGTCCTATCATGTGTACCTTTATCTCTTTTTGATAACGGTTGCAGGCATTATTCTAAAATATTTAGTGTCGAGAGGATGCCCTAGGTTCAGGCCATTGGTTGTAATAATTCTTCCCGATCTTATTAAGAGTTGCGTCCTCTGGTTGAATGAAAGTACAAACTTAATTCAACCTTTCATGTAAGCTGCTAATCGTAAACTTAAATACACAACTCAAAGCAAATAATTATCTCAGATATCACTCAAAGGAGTCAAAGTCCAGAATCTCGCCAGTCCATCCGTTTTGCACTGCAAGTATAATCTGTAAAAACATCTGCATGGACTCTAAACTCCTTTGAACATGATTGACAACTTTCTGGGGTACTTGATCAATCATGGAGAGAGTTGTGAATATTCAAACAGCGTACATGTTAATAATGGAGATTTGTTCTATATGCTGCGATCCAGATAAAAGGTGGTGAGGGTAGTAGAGTTAACTGCTAAGATCTAAGAAAAGTCATGTGGAATGTGCAATCTAAGCTTGAAACTTTTACCTTTTAGAAAAAGCATTGACCAAAGCTCGGACCGGATGCATCAACGCAAAAGTTTCTCCGTACCTCTAGGCATGGTTATGGAGAATTTCTGTGGATTGGTTCTCCTGTTACATTCACGCGTCATGTAGGTTTGTGTGCATATGTTAGAAAACCCTCTGCAGAATCAAAGCGAGTGAGAATTTTATCATATATTTTTTTAATCAGGAAAGATAGAGAAATACCTTACTAACTTTTGTAGTGTGAACGTTCCAGATTAGATAAATACAAACTGATTGACGGCCTCCTCCGGCAAGGTAAGGAGACAACCGTTGTTGGGAAATAAATTGTGGCATCTAATGAAACTGTGCATCTTTCTGTCTCGGAGTTTGGTGAGAATCAAATTCTCTGCCATAAAGTTCACCTCAATTGTCAAAGAGTTAGTGCATTGTACTGTAATGCATTACAATACTTGGACTCTTGTGATGCAAAATGTTTATTCATCCCTGAAGGACCAACATCTGGTTTGGAACCTGACCTCCTTTGATTATAGATCTACTGTCAATAGATATAGAATACCAAGAGGGAAGAATAGGTTTTAAAGCAAGCACTACACGTGAAAAGTATTGATGTAGAGGGAAAGTTTCCTAGAGGAAGAAAGTGATATATTCTTGGATTTAGTCACAAGGGCATAACTATTCAAGTTGTCCCACGTCCACCCACTTCTCCTACCTCTGCCGCTGCAGGAACAAACCCCACCTAAACTTTCCATTTTTTCATGCAAAGTAGTCATCCACAATTTGGCTTACAAAACTATGAAAATGTTGTGATTGATGTGTCAGTGTAACTTTGCATCATATATCTATACCTTTGATCAACTGCTTAATAAATCGAATGAATACGGAGATGACATTTCACATGTAAGTTTGGGCAGCTTCTTATTCCTCTAGGAGTAACAACGAAGATAGAACCAATAATTCAAATCATCATGACTTGATTGAATCTTAATAACAAGACACATTGAAACCCCATATTGAGTATATGGTAACGAATTTGGCAAAGTATCAATGATTGTGTTAAAATATGACAAGAGAAATTCAATATTCACAATATATTACTTTATTCCATACATGTTTATTGTTACATTCTGTACCAATATCTTTCCATAAAATGAGAAACTGGAGATTCTCTTGTCTATCTACAATGTGCTATTGTTGATATTGCAAAGTTAGTACTTACTTCAGTCCTACATATCTTTTCCACTTCTAGATCCATATTTCTCCACAGCAGATTGAATTTACCAAACCATGAGGTTGTGATGTGCATTTTTTTGACATTGGAGTAGTTTTTAGATTTAATCTAGATTTAACTTTTATAATATATAGATATTGATATCTCTTTTGCATACATTATTAAAGAACAACAAAGAGCTATTGTACTATCTGCCACTACAAGTCAATCAGAAATCACATTGCAAAGCTTTTGATTAGTTTGTTCATAGAAATCAAATTATGTGTTTTTAAAAATATGAAACACATCATATAGACTTAGAGTTTACATTGGCGGAGGAGTTTGATTACTTCAACGTTAGTTATGTTTAATAATTTGAAAGATGGCACTATCAAAGTATTGAGTATATTTTGTTTGTCGAAATTTTTTAAATTTCAGAGAAATATACGATAAATATAAATGACAAACACTCATTTTAGATATATCACAATTGTTTCAGAAAAAATCTCAAACCTATACACATAAAAAAATCAATTCAAATGTGATTAGATGTAGATGAACTTATTAATGTGGAAGATTTGCATGTGGTGTTTGATATTATCTGATATAGAACTAGATCTTGACCATTACTTATTTGGATTGTTTGTTCTAAATGCATGAGAATTAACGAAATATTTCACGACATCATAAATCTTATTTTGTGGTGCTTTAGCACAGAAAATTACATATTTGTTCAATGAATATGATAGACATATATATTATCATTTTTTGCTTATAAAACATTCATTACATCTTTGTTACTACATATATACATGCATGATAATATATTTGGTTGGACTGGTAACTTTGTTGTTCAAATTAAATCATAGGTTAAAAGCATGTTATGCCTATATATTTGTTGTCAATATGATTCAAACATTAAAACGTGTCATTTCAAATATTGAAGTGATAGTATGATGCATCAATAACATTCACACACAAAATTATACTTTTAGATTTTTACATTTTTGTTGAATTTTAAATATTTTAAAATCATAATATAATGAAAACTTTTTTTCAAGTTAATTAACTGATCAATCATTTGGTTGGAAAAATATTATTAAATAAATATTTTTTAAAATGATCAATAATTATAATTTATTTATCAATTTAATAATATTTTATCATTTCAGGCAATAATTTTGCTTACGCATATATTGAAAGATTTTGACAATCATCTTTTCATTTGTTGATGAAAAGTCATTTAAAAAATATGATGTCACATGTAGTATTGAAAATAATATACATAGAATATTAATCGATATGTTTAAAAGATTATTAAACTGATTATATATGTGAGTGCAAATCATACAAAACCTTAGTCCACAGTAACTATTAATTATCATGCGTCATCACAAGCATAACATGTCTAATGGCATCATGATGGTTTATGTTTACTTTTAAATGAGTATCAAACAATGAAAATTGTTGCTGAATTTGAAATAATATTAAATGCATATACGAGCAAGAAAGATACAAGCGAATTAAAAATATGCATGTAAATACTGATTATTGTAAAGCGCATATTAATTTATATGGTGTAATTCAACAAAGAAGTTAGCTGAATTTATGAATCAAAAAATAACGAGCCAATTGTCATTTACATAATTGTTTGATAAAATAAATTGATAGATGTGTAGAAAAATTTTAGATATTGCAACCTGAAATAAAAGTCCTTGGATCTTACAGGCATAGTTGAATTAAGTGAGAGAGCAGAGGTCAGTGATATATTTCTGAAATATGTATTTGCTTATTTCCATATGCTTTATTTTCATAAAGTTCATAAAGTTGCTTGTTGGTAGAATATATAAACATATTTTGTTTCTACATTTTTGCATTCAAATGCCATGAAACATATTTTTTTAAATGCAAAAATGCAAAATGCAAAAAATTTCATATATTAATGACATACTATATTTTGAAAAAACATAAAAAATAACTTTGAACTATAAATGGAAATTTTAGATTATTATAGAAACTGATATACTGTGCATATAATACCAATCATTTGAAGTTTGCAACATCATAAAGACTTTTTACCTATATTTTGTGTATGTTTTTTGTTTGTGATTTGGAATATGAGTATTTTTTGAATTTAGATGCACGTGTCATACTTAAGTTTGTGGCTAGCATGTCATGATACATAGATAAGCATAAGTCGTTTTGTATGATTTATTGTGCAAATGAATGGTACTGTCAGTAACAAATAGTAAAACTTAAACCTAGATCTACTCGGACAAATAATGATAATTTTGGTTTGAGAATTTGTAATAATGAATATATTGATAAATTGTAATAAGAAGAGTATTTTTTAGATCAATATTTGTAGAGCTTGATCTTTCACAACCAAACCACATCATTTAAAAAAGTCTCACATGTAACAATTGATTGTATTGATTGCTGCTTACATGCTTATTTTATTATCATAATTCAAATTGAACTGCATCACAATGTTTTGATATCGATGAGTGATAAACTTTACTCCTAGTAGATTGTCAAGAAATTATCTCCTGGATGTATCATATTTCAGGTATATGTTCCTAAGTTATCTCAATGTTAACATATACCACTGAACCGGTGCCCCGGCTACTTTAAGGGTACACATTACTCCAGAGTCATGTAATCAGTTAGTATTAGTTTCGGATGGTTTGATATCGAGCTTTTCATCTTTTCTTCTTCCACTATCATATAACATTAAGCTGGTCCTTTTGATGCTCTAGAAAATAACGTCGAGACGTAACGTTGAGGCTCAAACGTACTCTCTGATGAAAAGATTTACAACGGATATCCAACAAGTCAACATGTTTAACATATTGTGATAGTTATGACAACTAGCACTGATATCCATCTCGCCTCTTCACACTCGACGGAAGACTATTAAAAGCTCGAGGGGCACAGACAATGGCACCATCTAATGAGTCGAATAATAACATCGAATCGCTCCGCCATTCCAGAAATGGATGGAGATGATAAATAATTATATATTTTTTATTCATGGAAATGCAGACAGAAGTGCTAATTTAGTGCGGGGTAGGGCTAGACTCGCCCAATGTGGCAATAGCGCGCCCTCCTACTCTGGCCTGCTTCAAAATTCAAATACTTGAGAACTGCGATTGCCTCGACGGCGATGCCGAAACGGGACGCGTCCTGGACTTCGAGGCGATCAGCGATCGGGGGATTGAGCTTGCGCACGCTCGAGGAGGAGCAGGCCATGGCTCACAGGATTTGGGGACACGCGATAGTGAGATCGAGTCGTCAGTGAGGTGTGTCCAGGTCGAGAATCAGGCGCAAATTCAACATGGAGTGGGAGTTGAGTAAGGAAAATGTGCAGCCGATGAAGTCAGGACGTAACGTGGAGGTTTTAAACGATGCTCTCAAAGCGAAGGTGGAGGGCCACGCTCGTGTCAACATATTCGAGACTCAGCGCAGGTCTGTCCAGTTTCATCGAGCCAATTCTGGTCCTGCAAAACTGATTCTTACTCACACTGGATGGCCTTGTGCCTTCGCTCTGACCTCTATCTATGGGCCCGGTTCAGTTTCAACATCCACGCTTTGCTCTGTTCTAGCATCAAGTATTTTAGGCGACTGACCTCTGATTATGGCTAGGATGAAGTACAATTCCCGAAACAAACAGGGCCATTTTTTGATGACCTTTCCTACTCGACCACACTCTACCTCTTTCATTCGTTGTACATTTCTTCAGGGATTCTGTTTATGATGTCCATTCTAGCAGAATTTGTTTCACATTTTGCGATGTTCATCTTGTGATATGAAGGCTGAGTGGGAATTTTAACCTTTCTCAGATCATCGTGAGTGTGTGATCTTCAGCTGGGCTTTTCTGACATGGTTCACCATGGGCGATTGGACAGGCAAATGCTGGATGCAATCGAGAATTATGCGGGCGATGACCCCCTACAACCCTGGATTCGGTAGGTTCTGACTCTTGCTGATAATTTGCTTGAGAGAGCACCTCGAAGATATCAAAGTCCCCTGTTATTAGTTTCAACAGAGAAAGTGGTTCTAACCCGCTGATTTTCATCTCGTGTCTCATCCATGTGTGTTCGTGCATGTTATAGTGTCCCAATTCACATGTATGCGTCTCTCTGATCATGCGCACAGGTGCATTAAGTGGGTTAAGGATGCCTTCCCAGCTGGTGGTGCACAATCAGAACTTTTGAAGCTGTTGGAAGGGTGCACACGCCAATTTCACAAAGATGAATTATATCGTAACGACGTGCGCTACCTCAGAGTGTGGGTGCAGTATGTAAGTACTGTATGAATAAGGATGACAATTCGGATCTGAAATAAAATTTTCAGCTTCTGTTCCTCCTTCAACCGGAACCGAGGCTTGAGTTGTTGAACTTTTCTCCTAATGCTTTGTTACCATGATGTGGTGTAAGGCTTGTTCTCTTCATGTGGTATTTTCAACTGCGTTTATTTTCTTAGATAGTTTTTTTATTTCCCTGCAGACCTGCATTGGCAGTAAATCTTCATCTGTTTCTCTGATGATTTCACGATTCTGACAATCACCCTGCAGCCCCATTCTTCACTAATCCCGTCCAATTTTTATGCGCAGGCCGACTGCTGCACTGATCCAAGTGATGTTTTCGCGTTCTTGGAAGCGAATGAGATTGGACAAACGTTTGCTCTCTTCTATGAAGCTTACGCTACATCCATGGAAGTTCGCAGAAATTTTAAAAAAGCCGACGAGATATACCGACTTGGCATATCAAGGTGATCAGCGCAGATATACCCATTACGAGCAGACCTACAGTAGTCACAATTCGAGTTTCAAGGACAAAAAAGTCGGTGGTTTTCTGAACGTTGTCTGACCTAGTTCTTGCCTTTTTCTTCCCCAGACATGCACAGCCCTTGGGCAGGCTGGAGAACATGTATAAAAACTTCCTCAGCAGAATGGTTAGGCGTGGTGAACGGAAGATTCGCGAAGTATGTCTCCCTTGCCCTCGATGCCGTAATTTGGCCCCCAATTAAAAAACGAACGATCTCAATGTTTCTGGCTAGAAGTACCATTTACTGTCGCCCTGAGTGCAAAGAAACCAGCTCATGACCTTGTGACTTTGACATTTTATTTAGGAACAGCAGCAGATATCTAGTGGCTCATTTTCAGAGAACGAGGCACCTTTTCGAGCATTTGGTCCAACCTCTCACTTTTCAGGTAGATGGACATTTCCGCTGACTGGACTTGAGTTTGGAACTAAAGTAAGATAATAGTATGAACTTTTTCTTCTTCTTGATGTGTGATTCTTCCCCTCCTTGAATCATTTCGTCTGTTGAGAATCTTTTAGTATGACATCTTTCTCTATGGTAACAATCAGAACGGCCTCTTGATTGCTGTCAAACGGGATGAGGCAACTGTATACAGACCGAATATGTTGTTACCAGTACCTCAAGTGCAGAGTCCTCATTGTTGAAATATCTAGTGCGCTTAAACTAACCCAATCATCGTGCTCAACTGTCGAAGGAACTAGTGAGCAGCATTATTTTAGAGAACGGGGAAGGCAATCCTTGATGCAGCCCCCTCACCCGAGGTGAACATCAGTAATCCAGGCTCATTCACCTATTTGTTAAGTTGTGTTCAAATCCTTGTTTTGTCATAACAGATAGTAAGGTGTTTTGGTTTAACCTCAGTGACCTTCTCTTGGTCATCTTTTCCTTTCGGTCAAATTTTATAGCGCGTTCGTTCGAAAATGCATAGGCTTACAATCCTCATGTCATTGGTCACGCAGAGGAAATAAACCCAAAACCGCCAAACTTTCGATATTTGTCGATCCAGAGTTTGAAAGCTCAAGAAATAACAGCACCCAGGACCTTCCTGGTGAAGATCCAGGCCTGTCTTCAAATCAATCTGCGGCCTGGTGGCACCTTCCTGCTGAAGCGGATAGGATAAAAGAAAATGTTCAGCAACCCACAAAGTGGACTGACGCAAAGGTTTGGAACTGTCTGGAACCCTGTTCTCCCATTGTCTCAATTATCAGTATTGATAGAACTGTAAACCAGAGGGTTTGTGTTCAATAGTCAGGACGAGAAGTTGAAGTATTGAGTTTCGTACCTTGCTCTCAGCAGCTGTGTTGTTATATGCAGATAAAGCAGAAGCATCCATTCTCCCAAGGTCAGCAATCAGGACTAGAAGTTTACGTCGATGAACAATTTTCAGAGTAAGTCTATGTGCCCCTAAGGAACGCGTGAAATATCTGTGTCGAAGTCTTTGGACTCTCCTGACGTTAAGTGTAACACACTAGTCAGCCTTCTATGGATCTTATTGGTCGAAACTCACCATCCGTCTCTCATCAATGCAGAGTAAATAGTCTTAGAGACCACTCTAAGCCTGGGAAGCCTGCTCCGCCCCCTATATTGAAACTGAGGCTCGAAGACATGCAAAGCATGAAAAGGTTTGAAGTTTAGGCCTTCCGAGTTGTCTGTATTATCAGCAATATACTATCTGGATCTCAACGGAACATGAACTGCAGTTTGAAGATGTCATATTTTCCGCTTGAGTACTGCGGCATGAAAATCATCTGTCACTGCCCTGACTGTATGATATGATATTCTTTGATAGCAGGACCTCGCCACGCCTGAAAGGCTCTTTTCTGGACTTCGCATCCGCGGCTGTAGGTTCTGCCAGTAACAGTGTTGAGAGCCCTGGTAAGGGGATCCTTTACAGCATTGTTTTTAGAATTTTCGTTAATTGAAAGTGTGTTGGCTTGAAGCTGACATTGTAAGTAACCGACTTGGACACAGGAGTTCTGGCTGTTCAAGAGGCGTGCAACCTTCCAAAACCCCATTTGCCTAGCGTCCTTGCATATGACACGCACATGATCAACGAGAATGGAGAAGAGAAAAGTTTTGAGGAGGTGAGGTTAAAGTTGTGGAGAGAGTTTCATAAAGGTCTCATGGATCTGGACCAAGTTGATAACCTTGAAGTTCCCAGGGAGGAAGAAAGTTTGCAGTTCCTCTCTGGAGCTCAGGACAGTGATAGACCTGTCCAGTCAGAAGGTCAAGTCACTATCAAATCTTCTCCTTGCACGAGTATTCCTTCAACTCCGATGCTGGTAGAGACTGATACAGACACTGTGCAAAGTGTAAGGGACTCTTCCCCTAAGAATGGTGATATCATACTGGATGATGAAAAATGTCCGGGAGGAAGTGATCGTCTTGATTACCTGGTTGATCCCCCAGCAAATGGATCAGCTACAACAGGGATGAACTCCACTATTGTTAGTGAGCAGCGAACTGAAGAAGGTTATTCCCAGCTTGAAGGTTCATCAGGTCGTCTATCGAGGGCCTCCACTTCCTTCTCAATGCAGGGTGATGAAACTATTGCAATTAAACGCTTCGCTGATGAGATAATAGTTCTTGGCACAGACCCTCGGGTCAACAGCATAGACACAGGTAGTCATCACGGGCTTGTGGATCCAACAATCAATACGAAGGAGTGTGTAGCGGATATCCTCGACATGTTCAACAAGCCTCTGGAGAGCGACAATTTAAGATCTAAATCCAGGGTGTCCAAGGATTCTAAGAAGCGTACGAGCAAATCTGGAGGCTTCCAAATTTTTGTTGATGATGATTTGCAGGTTGAAAGACATATGGAACCTTGCAAGAATGAAAAGCGGGTGAAATGCCCTTCTAGCAAATTTTCTGTAGCAGGTGAGAACAAACTCAGTGGCTTTCAAGTCTATATGGATGAAGATCTTGGAGGTAAACGGCCAGTATCTTTCAAAGGAAATGCTAAATCATCCATCAACTTGTCCAAGAAGTCTGAACCGGAATCAGGCAAGTTCCAGATATATGAGGATGAAAACTTTGCGGTCCAGCCTGCGAGACCCAAGCAGAGTCAGAGAAAGACAGTTTCCAAATTATCTACCATTCAATCCAAAGACTTCCAGGTATTTGTCGATGATGAGTTTTGTGACCTAACCCCCGGCCAGAATGGAAAGTGTGGGGAGAATCAGAAGCTATCTGATGAAAATGCGGAGAACTGGAAAATTGTCGATAATGAGGATATGATTGACAAACGTTTGAAGGCCAAGTCAGTCGAAAAGAGGGCTACTAAATCTACTTCCCGGTCCTCAATCGATTTAGGTGTATGTGTTGATGAGGAATTCCGTGATTTGTCACTGAGTTCACGCTTATCAGAAGAGCAAGGTTTTGATATTTGCCCCGAGAAGTATTTAGACTCATCAAGAGCTAAGGAGAACGCTGGTGAAATTTACCAAGTAGAAGAAGCTTCAATTACTGTCGAAGGTTCAAGTCCTGTGCTAGCAGGAATTTGTTTGGTAAGTTGTGGGACTTGTGGGTCGTATATCTAGTGTGCTGAATGTGACTTATACACATCATGTCGAAGTATGAAAGTAAATACGGTTCACTGAACTGCTCAGAGAAAAGCATTACCTGATTGGATTCTTGTGTTCCACTTTCAGGATCAAGTGCTTGAACGGGAAACGGCAGCACAGCTCAAAACATCTGAACGGTTTGAATTCTACCACTTGCTATTTGTTCTTCATTCATTTATTCCTATCTGTAAAGGAATTGTGCAGGCCACAAAAGCTGTTTCTTTCTACTCTTATGAACTTTAGAATTGTCGACGCTTTGCAGTGTCTACTATTTCTTCTTCATTCACTTTAGGATTCCATTTCTGCATTCCCACAGCTACACCGTTGAAGGGAGTCAGTTGAATTTCTTCTTTGGCACCTGAACACAGAATCTAAAAGTTCTGAACTCCTGACTCTTATGCCCTGAAATGGATGCAAGTTTAGCCACAATGGATACTTATTAGGTTTGAATTTAGTCATTAGTTTTTCCCTGTCGTTTTCTGAAGACCCTTGCCATGCCTGAGTGGTGCAACAAGAGAGGGATTAGAACTAGATGACTACTTTACTCTGAAGATGATCTTTCCTGCTGTGGAATATCTCCACATAATTGGGATTTAATCGGGGTCATGAAAGAAGAACTTGATTAACACATCAACCTCATCATACTAAATGCCCCATAAGATGTGACTGAAAGTGCGGTTTCTTTTGGCTATGGATCAAGCCAGTGAATTGCGGAAACAGTTTGAATTCGAACAGCAGAGTGCTGTTGAGAAAGAGAATGTTAATATGAGCAAAAAAAGTGTCTGTAGTATCGTGAAGTTTTGAAGGGGCTCTCTAATTTTCATTAAGAGGATAAATTCTTTGTGTAAGATTGTTCGCAATTGACCATAAACAATACTATAAACCATATGTTTTGACAGTTCCTATGATGTTAACTGCAGTCTTGGATCTACGGCAATCAACTCCTTGTGTGTGACGAATATAGCAGAAACTGTTCCTATCACTCCTGCGGTTCATGTGGAGGTACTGTAGACCAAAGTTTGCGTTCCCAGTAGTTTCTTCTTTGCCGTCCACTTAATCTTCGGTACTCCAACCATACGTACCTTAAAATATGAACAAAGTCTTAATCGAGACGGTTGGTTTAAATTTACGAAGTAACTTCTTTTCTGCAGTGTATATAGTGCCATGTGCCGTTAAGATATAATCATGTACATCTTTCGTTTTATTTTGGTTGACGACTTTTCTTTTTGGTTCGCTTCCTTGAGACAATTGAAATGTACGTAGGAAGAGGAAGACTCGGATGCTGCACCGTCACTAGAGAATGTTGATCCATGGGACGAAAGCACCATCAAAGGTCTTCTGTCAAGAATCCACTCGTCTTTGTCCAACTACGAGGTATGCTTGCACCTAAGGATCATTTCTGCGCTTCGTGTGGTCTACATACAAAAGAATGAAGTAACTGTTGTGTATAAAATTTGTCTTTATGTGTGTATCAGTAACGCATAGAAAAGGCAGTTTCCACTTTCAAAACTTTCATATCCAGAAGCTTGTTCTGAGTCTTCTAGAATGTGTTTGCGAGTCAGGAAATTCGGTAAGGGCGCTCATTGTTGGAACATTATGTGAGCTTCTGCTTGGTTAAATGTATGACAGGGCTTTTTTGAAAGTGAGACAAAGTATAGTGGCCCTCTTCCCACTTCGTCTTTGAGGGCCAGTAACGGCCGAAATAAGGATATACACCTCGGTTAGTGATCTTTCACCCTTCGCTTGGTCCAATGATCGATCTCTGCTGTAGCATGCCTCGATGTAGCCTTTGTGAAATTTTCTGTTCTTCTTTTCAGTTTCACCCTTTTTGTGTGTCGTCACGTTCTATTTAAAGACACTTCCATCTCATACTTGAAATGTTAGAATAATATCTAATTAGAATATTGGTTGAAAAAACTACATTTCAGTGGCAGGCTCCCTCCCTGTCGTATTGAGGTCTTATGGGTGCTATGAATAATCTGATGCTTCAAATTTCTTCACTTTAGAGTTAGTTAATCTTGGCATTTGATGAGTTGTGGAAGTAATATCAATGTCAACCTTGACAGGCAACAATACCTATCGTCTCACGGGATGTATTGGTGAAGGTGCTTTTGCCCATGTTTTCGAAGCTGAAGATGCCGATGATGACTTTTTTGACGATCCGCCTAAAGTTGCACTGAAGGTAATCGCAACTTTTCACTTAAGCAGCGCCAAAGCAACAATACGTACACATTGCCCTTATCCCACTTTAGAACAAAAAGCAAAGCCGTCAACGAGTAGATTGGATTCGTTTGAATACTCAACAGACAGGCACCACCATTGTTTTAGATTGTTACCACGTAGGTGCGCTCACTCCAATATATATATAATGTCCCGGCATTAATGACATCCACTCGAGTTTTATTTAAAATTTTTGTAACCTAAAGCTCGGGCTATCTCCTATTGCACTTCAAAGACAACGTATACAACATGTTCTGAACTTAGACTATCGATGCATGAGTAGATAACACTATTCTGATTTTCCAACACTTTTGACACCTCTTAATGCAGTTCCAAAAGCCCGCGTGCCCTTGGGAGTTCTACATATATCGACAACTGGATAGGCGTATATCTGAAGAAGATGTAAGCAGAGATGATCTTTGGATCCTTCGCTTCACGTTAATTAGTCGAGATTTAGCTATTGATAGTGTACATCAATAGGTTCTGGAATCGTTAACGGACTCAGTGGTTATCATCTATCTCCGAATTAAACATTTTTCCATGTTCATGACCTCATCGTTCCCTTCGTTCGCATCATCTTAAATAGAGACGGTATTTTGGCAAAGCGCGAAGAATGCACCTCTACACGAATTGCAGCTTCCTTATCTGCGACCACGGAGACAAAGGCACTCTTCAGGTAAAGATGAACTGATCCTGTTATACCACTTGCATCTCCTGAAAATCGATGAAGCTTTTACAAACAAGTACAGATTTCTTACTGGAGATGGCTATGAATTTCTTTCCACAATTGTTGCAGGATGTTGTGAATGCGTACCTAGCAGAGCATCTACACATGGAGGAAGCTATGTGCATGTTCTACACCATAGAACTGCTGCGCATGCTGGAAGTCTTGCATTCCGTTGGGATCATCCATGGTGATATTAAACCAGACAACTTTCTCATGCGAGACATAGACGACAGGTAACTAGCAGCGTCAATCAAATAAACTTTCCTAAGTTTTAAGCGTCTGAAGAATCTCCTTCTACATCCTCTTACTCATCCAATGTTGAGTTGTCGCAGCATTAAAGTCGAGGATTGGGCTCCTGATCATCCTGGTTGTTGGAAATCCCAAGTAAGTATTTGATCATGTACTCTTGATTTTTTATTGATTTGCTCATGAGATAGAACTTAAATCTCGCTTCCTCTTTATTTGTGCTCTTCCAGGACTGTGAGATAGAAAAGTCTTGCCGTGCGAGACTTTTCAATCACAGTCTTTGATTCTAAATGTATTGATCCTCATACATCGAAGCTGCTATGGGGTACGCAGGGTTTATGCCTGATTGATTGGGGTCGAAGTATCGACACAACTCTATTTCCAGATGGTACAGAGTTTCTGGGTGACTGCAAGACTGATTCGTTCAGATGCCCAGAAATGTTGGAGCGGCGTCCATGGACTTTCCAGGTAGAACTGTACCAACAGAGAGAATTCTGCGGTCATCCATCCATGTATAGTTAGTTCACCTAGTCCACCGAGAAATTTTTTAGCTCGAAATCTTTTCTTGCGGCTCTTGAAAGTCTTAGAGGAACTCAAGCTCTCAACTAAGATTAAGCTTCACTTCATGTGCAGGTCGACACTTTTGGCCTGTGCGGTGTAGTTCACTGTTTGCTACATCAAAGCTACATGCAAGTGGAAAAGGTCAAGACTGCGGACGGACAGTGTCTTTATCGTCCGAAAGCTGCCTTCAAGCGGTAGGTGTATCCTGGCCATGTTCCGCGAATAACTACAGTGGCTTAAAAACCTGCAAGACATAGGCTGTTGTCTCATCGAATCTCATCATTTAAGTGACTGACACTAATACCCATTATGCTAACATAATTGTCGCATTTTCCAGGTATTGGAATGTGAAGCTATGGAAAGAGCTATTTGATAATTTGTTGAATGTCAAGGATTTTTATGATCGTGAAGTTTTGATACGGTTGAGAAAAAGCTTCGAGAACCACCTGGTCGAGAACAATATGGGGAAGAAGCTGAAGGGGTTCGTAAGAAAGCAGAACATTATGATATTCGAGTCCCGCCGCCGATAAGATGTTATGCGCTCGATCGTCCTTGAGACACATGGACAAAGTGGGCTTTTCTTGCTGTGCTGTATTGGCAGAGTCAATACCACAGTCGACCTTTGAAGGTCATTGTCATTGTATTGAAGCGACGTCCGTCCTAAGTTCATACGATCAGTTATATATCTATATAGGCGAAACCTTTTGAGTCTCCTTTTGGTTGGATAGTTTTAATCTGGAAGTAGCTTGTAGGGCTGATTATAACAGTATTTTGTTTTGCGGTTGACCTTTTTGTACATACGTTCATTCGCGAAATGTTTCTACTGAAACATCAGATTGTGCATTATAATTGATATCATCCTCTGAAGTCCTTGAAGTAAAGACGTAAATTTTATGAGAACCTGAGAGTGTCTTCACATTTGAGGACATTGTGTGAAGTCTGCGAGAGACCACATTTGTGAATGTACTGCCAGTACTGTTGTCTGGCACCCCCTCATACCTGCATCGGCAGTCTAGTCTACCATGGGTGTGTGGCAATCTTATAATGCGCTTTCTCGATGCTGAATCCCACCTGTAAGTACGAACTTGTGTGAAGAGAAATTGATGAATCTTCTCGTGAACTCTGATCCTTCAGCCAGGCCATCTTTTGAAGACAAATTCCTCTCGTGTCCAAGCCGATGCTGGACTGCGATGTTGTAACTGGGAAGGTACATTTGAAGCCAGTCCGAACTATATCTACTCAAACTTTGTCTCGAATTCTAAACCGCGAGCAGATTCCAATTTTAGAAGAGGTACCTCCACACACGCGTTGCTTCCTAAACGAACAGGTGGAAGTGCGAAACGGAAAAATATCAAATGGTACTAGGCTGTGTATCTCGACAGTGCCGCATCTTCATGAAAAACTCTTCCCCTTACACCTTGCCCCTTAAATGTCCAATGTGCGACCTTACATCTAAGCGCGTCAAGACTCCGAAACTCACCGAATGCTGAACAGGAGAGAGAATGATGGCCCCATTGGGCTTTGACCTCAATTGACAAGATCTGACCATTAGCTGTCGATGGTACGATAGCAACAGATGATGTTGAGTGGCGATGGAGTTGAGTCGAGGCGATGCACTGCTGTACTAACTACGTCCTTCGCAATCTTGATCAGTGTTCTTGCCATGCCGGGACAGTGTGGGAGGATACAGAAACCAGTAAAGTCAGTGACTCGTGTTGCTCGCCGATGGACAACTTTTGATTGAAGAAACGAACGAACGGGGCCCCATGATAGGGACCTGAGCCGTTGGAGAAAATTCGCCCATTCTGATGTCCGTCAAGACCGTAACGCTTCTTTCCCTCGAGCTTGTGCCTGTTCATGGAATGTTGCCTGCCCTCCTTCAGCTTCGCCTTCACCTTCAGCGACAGCTGAATGGACCGAGAAGCACAAATCCACCGCAGCAGCTTCCAGATCTTTCTTTTCTTGAGGGACCGGTTGAATCACCCCGTACCGTCTTGTTGGCCATCAATTATGATGGCACTCGGCCACTGCAGCAGCCGCTTTCGACTTCTGGTATATGTGAGCCGGTGTCAGTCTCATGTTGCACGTCCCTCAGTTATAAAATTCGGAACCGAGACTGTGGCTTTTAAGAAACATTTGGTATGGACGTCATTTCGGCTTTCCTCTGGATATTATGCGTCGTTGGCACCTCTGCAGGTCAGTCAGCCCTCAATCTCGATTCGATACTTTGAACCTTGCACATGCTTCACGTAAGCTGCACCCATTTCTGTCGTCTAAATTGCAATTCGATATAATGTCACACTTGTCATGATTTGATGGATGAAAGAGTTGAGTTTATTCACACGATCTAGATTTAATTACATTTTCCTACTTGCATTCTTCATATATGACTTCCAATGCGCTGAATTGTAGATCATACGTTCTAGACTAGACTCAAGTGCCGGGCCTGTCAGGAACACATGTTGCATGAACATCAATATGAGGATCCTTCGTTGATTCAACTTTGTAGGCATTCATGTCGTCTAATAAACAATTCGATTTATTGTTGCAGGCTCGATGTCAGCTACAGAAGATGACTATCCAGTGAACAAGCATGACGATCCACAAGATCGATTCGACTACAGTCTAGGTCCCTATGGTCCTGACAATTGGGGTCGTTTGCGATCGGACTGGCATCTTTGCAAGGATGGTCTCAATCAATCTCCAATGGTTATGGAGCCAAATATGATGATCCTCGACCCCGACATGGGGCCACTCAGGGCTGTCTACAAAACTGCCAACGCCACCATCGTGAATGTGGGCCGATCTGTTCAGGTAATTTAAAACGCATGTGATGGCAGGCAGCACGGGACCTTTTGTCCGTCGCCAATGGATTACTATCCGGATTTCCTCGTGCTTTAGCAGCAGAGGGAATCAATTTCAGTCAGGAAGTATCAGTTGGTACACTTGCATGTACAAAGCTAACGTTCGACTTGTGTATCTTCTGTTTCACTATCGGACTGGAATTTAATGGCTTCTTTGTGTTAGTTATGAGTTATTATCAACCTGCAGCATTTCGTGGAGATAGAAAACATGTCAGAAGAGCTCTGCAGGTTGAATCTACCGAGCTCATGCTTTTGAAGAGCGTGCTTGTGTTGGAAGGTTGCTCTTTGTCCACGCCCTCCACATTATTGCATTGAAGAGTAAATGTGCGAATGCACAGGTGTGGTGGCCTGGAGCGGGCAATTTAGTGATCGGTAATGTTACGTACTACATCAAGGATATCGACTTCCACACGCCGAGTGAGCACACTCTGGGTTTATTCAACGAAAGGTTTGACATTTTCATCTCCTCATCGTACATTATACTCTGCGTATACCCTGAACCACTGCTAAGTTAACACTCAATCAAAATTTAGCATCATAGTCCTTCTCAATTCCCATAAAATTTAATTGTCACGATAATTTAAGGAGCAGGCTTGAAACATGCAGCTGCGTACTGTCTTGTCGTCCATTGAAAGGAAAATGTTGCCAATTTACTTTTCTCACTTCCTCAGGTTTCCGCTGGAGATGCACATGGTGCATCGTACAAGAAACCGGGAGAAAGTTGCAGTCATAGCTATCCTGTTCAATTTTGGCGACGAAGATCGGTTCCTTGCTCAGGTACTTGCATCCCTTTCTTCGCAACGGATAACGTCTCATTTGTATCCATCTCTTACAATGTGTAAGGTCTCTGAGCTCTTGTACGTCGCGTACAGTTTTTTGATCGGCTTCCACCATTGTCAGCGAAAGGTCAGATGTTCCCCCTCGGAGAATTGAGTCCCCGCTACTTGACTGTTCCGCTGGGTCAACATTACGGGCGCTACTATGGTTCCGAGACTCATCCACCATGCAACGAAGACATTCTTTGGACTATTGTTCACGTGGAGGTAACAAGCCTGAGCAGTCGTTTTTCGAAAGCACTTTATCTATCCATGAATCAGATCATACATGTATAAATTTCGAAGTCTATTCTTTATTAGCTTGTAGCTGCAGTACACTCTCAAGCGTCTCAAGGTAGTGATGACAATATATGTTTGCCCGTTCGTAGGGGCACACTATATCGATGCAGCAGCTCGTGAAACTGAAGATGGTGCTGGAGGTAAATATGGCTTTTCCAAGATTCCACTAAGGTCGACGAAGAAGCTATTAGCTACGTTGCTCCTAATGTATTTCATACTAAGAGATCGATTCTCAAGTACACTTTCTTAATCGGCTTCTCTTATGCATTTTGAAGGGTATTTCTATTTTTGTTGCTCTTGAGATTTTTGTTTTCTGTCTTGCTGTGCAGAGTGATAATGCACGACCATTGCAGAGAGGCAATGGCCGAAAGTACCACTTTCTATGAAGTGAACTGCTGGAATTTTACAACCCACAAGACTGTTAGAGAACTGAACCACAGCGCACACCGAATGGGTAGTAGAAGTAGTAGTAGCAGTAGTCTTTAGTACTGAGGCCTCAGTTGGTACGAGAAGTTGTGGTTAGATGACTTAGAAGGATGGTGGGCCAAGAATCGAAAGCCGTCAACCTCACTAGTTGGCAGATCCACCAGCTGCCTGGATATGGTAGATTTTTGGCTCTGATTGTAGGTTTGCTGGTTCGTTTAGAGCATAAAGGTTTTGTTAGCAGTATAATCTTATTCAATTCGATGGACGAGAGCTCCGATCTTTTAAAGCTGCAGAATCAGCGTGTTTGAATCCGCTTCTCATACTCCTTAGCTGCGCATCGTATGTCCTCGTACACTCTTGAAAGCACGCCTCTATTACATGCATTCGGTCTGCCACAAATAACGATCAATCTTTATATTTCTCACTTCAAACACATTACGGTTGGCTTTCTAGCTATTTCACGGTTTGGTAGCATCCTCCTCATGCAGTTCTATGAATCGGTGATTTCAGCAAATAACACTATACAGCGCTAGTCATTATACAGCGCCTCGTAAACTGGAGTGTGATTCAGAACTAAAGCAACACAAATGTTTCCTGTAGTTGTACAAAGCACAAGCTCAGAACTACATCATAGTTGGTCCGATTAAACAAGACTGTTCAATGTTCATCATGCTCCACCTGACAGTGAGGCCAACCGTCCACTCGCCTAACGGTGGATGAATACATTTCTCTCATCAGTCTTCATGCCTCTCCCCTCTTCTCCTTTGAGCACTTGAGCGTGGAATTCGTAAAGCCATAGATATCTGGATTGATTGAAATCTTCCGTCTTTGTCCGTCTAAGGTTTCTGTTTCGGATCAGGTGGTCTATGATCGAGAGAATGTACAAGATGTTTAGATGGATTTCGAATGTGACGTCTTGACGCCATCCTTATCCCTGTTCTTCATGACGTCGTAGACCTTCACTCCAAGGGCGAAGTACTTGTGTCAGTATATAAATATCTAAGATACGTACAGTTTCTCTTAAAGAAAATGTCAGAAATGTAATAGGTTTTTTCGTAAGAAAATCATTTTAACATGTCATGTCATCTACACGCACAAAACTTTCCATCTCTACATGTATTGTACATTAAACATTACAATATGTGACTAATAAGAGTTGAATATAGTTTAAGGTTTTGCCATCTTCTTTGATCTTGGAGCTTTGTCTCCAACCTTATTGTTGTTCAATATAGTCTCTATAGATCCATTGGGTTGTTTTGCAAAGTATTCCATATGAAATCATTTGACATATTCTAGTATATAACTTAGTACCATGAACTATCAATCCATGCAATCAAAATATCAGGCTAAAAATCATAAACTATCTAGCCATAAACAAATTACAAATGGATTATAAGATATATAAAGATTAAAAATTCAAAAGATTCGTAGAAAAATTATCAGTCTTATAAATAATAATAATTTGTAACACTAATGATCAACTAGTGAATTCATTCAAAAAGTAAACACAAACTATGAAGATAAAGTTTTATTAGAATGATTTTTACCTTTTTTATATAAATCTTTACATTAGTTACCAAGAGATAAGGTTTCACACTCATCTTCAATTTTAGAATACTTCATGACATGAAGTATACACCAATAGTTTATGAATCTTATGTAACTAATATACTCAACTTGATTAACAAACACACAAATTGATGATGTACAGTGGAACCTCCGTATAAGGTACATGCCACATAAGGTACACCTCCATATATGGTACGGATTTTTTTTTAATCAGCAAACCCCCCATTCCCCCTTATTTTCTTAAGTAAAAACTCTCTATAAAAAGTACACTTCTCTTTAGTACGCAAAGTACACCCCAGACTAGCCGGGGAGTGGCTACGCAGTTCTATATAAGGTACATTGGAACCTTCGTTTGGGTTCCCGCCATCCAGATGCATGCATCAGATTTTGCAAAGAAACTAACCGTTCTGGACGCGATCAAATTCATAGAAAAATCTTAAGACCTTGTCAAACCTAAAACTATTCAAAAAATTATTTGTCACATGCGGTTTCACATCAGCCGCAGTTGTGCAGCAACAAGGCATGACAGAGGTTTTGCAACAAGAACAAGAGCTGGTTTCTTTGGCACAGAGGATTGGGCTTGACAGTTCTAGGATTGTTGTTGAGTAGTATTTGCCAAAAAGCAAAATTCAAGAACATGAGAGCCTCATTGGAAAGTTGGTTGAAGAATTTATTGACGCTGCCAGTGACGACGAAGTGGAGGAAATCGCAGTTGTGATTGTAGACAGTAAGCCAGAACAGCCGAAAGCGATTTCATGTGCACATGCAAAAGAAATGGTTATTGATCTGATCGACTTTGCAAAAACCAACTCACTCTTCAAAGAAGAGATGTACTTGTTGGGCATAAAATCTACAATCCATTCTTTGTATCTTTCAACTCTTAAGCAATCTTCAATTGATCAGTATTTTCAATAAATCCAAGTGATTTCATCATTATTTTAAATTAGGGGGTTAGAGGTATTCCATATAAGGTACACACGTCATAAGGTACAAACGCGAAACATTTTGGAGCAAATAGGTTGTATCTTATACGGTTCCACCATATGGTTATTTATTAACATTTTTATTTTTTATATATCAAACACACGTTAACAATACGTGTTTGATAATAGATTGTCCACTATAAGTCACTTCAATTTTCCCCTTGAATTAACTCTATTACAGTTCTAATCAACTAAACATGATAACATGCAAAACCTTTGTTATATGTAAATTCAAATTTCTGAAAAAGATACATCAACTAGAATTTATTTGGTTTCCAAGTTGATTTCGTACCGTTTTTTTTTCATTGAAACAAATAATCTATTCTATGATATTTCTGATATTGAGTCTATGTCTTGAATATATATTTTAATATTAATATAATATATATTTTACTTCATTGAGAGAGTATATCATACATATTTTTGCCATCATGACACATGATGTATTTTATTTGGGGTGGAAGCAGGTAGTGTTAACTCATTGGTTTTTTCTTGAATTAGAGTTTGCAATACCTTCGGCCGTTGGCAATTATTTTAGAGTTAGGGTTTGTAGGGCTGTTCGTAGTTTGCAATGCATTTTATCTTGACAAATCTCCTTGTCGCTTGTAAATTTCCTAATTGGAAAATGTTATGGAGTCACCTTTTTATAGTTTCACGGTGTGCATTTGTTTAATTCTTACAATTCATATTAGAGCCAGTATATATCATTTTAAGGAGATATTTGAATTCCTATTTCAAGAGAAAATGTATTATCTAGAGAATCTTACTATATATTATATATTGATGATTATTCAAAATTTATGTAATTTTAATTTTTCACACACAAATATAAAATGATTATAAATTTTAAAATTAGAAAGATAAAATCGAAACTATATAAATTTGAGATGACAAAGATCATAATTATGAATAGTTTCGAAATTAATGCAAAAAGAAATTGAATACCACCACGGTTTGCTCGGTCTCAAACTGCGCAAAACTCAGTTTTGTGCATTAGGCCGCGTCTAATTTCAGAAATTGAAACATTTCGCGATTTGGCCGAGGACATGGAAGAAGAGGTCAAAGTGGCACCCCCAAGATGGTGACTGGCAGAGGTGGCGTAGGCGGAGTGTCAGGGAGCCAGCTAGGACGGCGCATTGTCCATGTCCGCATCCGTAGGGCTGCTCTGGTGCAAGCAGCGCCCGGGGTTTCGAACAGCACGAGCTCTCGACGGCTCTGGCCAGTCGCAAATGCGAGGCCTTGCAGTTTGATGATCGAGGCTGTTCCTGGACGAGGAGCAACGCCACAGCCTGCACGCCGAGGTGAGCAACTTGGAACCTCGACATCAATTTACGATTCACCGCTTCAGAAATTGCTCGGTTTTCAAACCCTAAATCTCCGACCGAGAAACTCGACGAGAGCGAGGATGGAGTGATAATTCAATGCGCCTCTTCTGGGATTGGGTCCATCGCTTCTCTTCTGTGTTTGATAGTTCGTAATTTGTTCCAGGTCAAATTCAGCTGCGAGCTCATCCGAACAGCGCACAAGCACACGACAAGGACAGAAGAAGGTGAGGGGAGGAGGAGTTTGAAGTAAGAGCAGGGATTGTATTTTCTACTTTTTCTCTATTTTTGGTTGCTTCTGGGTGTCCCAGCCACATCACCGTCCGTGAACAAGGATGCGGGGTCGGGCAGAGTGATAGATGAGGTCGAGGAGAGGAGCAAGTATTCATGGAATTTATTTACGAATGGAAGAGGGGATTGAGCGAAATTGAGTCGTGGAATTGTTTTTTAGATTGGTTGAGTGTAGGTCTCCTTAGTTAAATTTGGAGAATCCAAAAGTTGGAGTGTTTGGAATTGAAAGAGGTTGACGGGCGCGTTTTACAGTTAGGGGTCTTCATAGTTCGTGAATTATGGAGGAAGATCACATTTTGGGGAGCCAGCAGCTGCCCCCTCAAGAAAATGGTTCGCCTGCGGCAAATCCCACGCAGGTGCGTGGTCGTCGTCTGCTCAATTGGATCTTAGCTGTGGAAGTAAATGACTGTGAAGCTTGTGAAATTTGGACTTAACACGTCGAGCGAGATGGGAGAACACACAATAGCTTATCAGATCGACCATTACGATAAATTATTATATTTTACCATAATGCGTAAAACCACATCAGAGGTTATTCATTGGGACATATGTAATGATTTCATGGTTGACTATTCTTTGAGAAACTGTGGCAGATCCGAAACAATTCGGCTAGTGGTGTGGCTACTAGCAGTCTGGAGTGTATTGAGCTGATAAGCCTTTCTTCGTTCAGGAATCCGGTGCAGATTTGAAGAAGAAGAAGAAGAAGCCGGCCAAGGTGGCTGCCATAGAGGTTATAGAAAGCATTGGTGGAATTCAGCTGAACCCTGGCAAGGAGGAGGACGGAGAAGGAGACGAGGCCGATGCCGATGCCGTAACGGGTAGGTCCAATCCTTACAGTACTTTTTTGTCCTTTTCGCGCTACTGTGATGGATGGATCATTGTCTTCAGATTTCCGAATTTCCTGACAATCCGTAGTGTTGTTCTACCTTAGTAGAGGCTGACTTCTGTCGCGGAATCCCAGTCCTTACCATTATTGAGCTTGATCTCCGCTAGCCGTCATTTTAACCCGTGCCACTTGTGACTGAAATTGTTTCATTACGATCTTTTGTTCCTCCGGTAATTGACCACGTTTTTCTTCTCCCAATTTGCAGAGACAGATGCAGCGAAGAAGAAGAAAAGTAAGAGCAAGAGCAAGTAAGGGTTTATTTTTTTTCGTTTAGTCAATCTCTCTTGGGTGCTTACAGTTCTGGAGATGTATGTCTCTCATGGTTGTAGATATCTCTTTGAATTGCTTTCTTGTACATGTCTGAGTCTGGGCTCATTTTTCTTCTCATTCAGGAAGAAGAAAGGACTCGTACAGACAGACCCACCGAGTATACCAGTCAAGGATCTGTTTCCAAATGGAGAATTTCCTGAGGGCGAAACTCAGGCATACAAGGATGAGTAAGTCATCATGCCTTGGCATCCAAGCTTAAGACCATGATCTTCTCCTTGACAAATTGACTCTTCTTATAATCCCTCTTAAGTTAAGATATGTACATACTTCCCAGCAGCAATCATGCAATCAGTCTGATTTTCTACTTGAGGGTTCAAGAGCAAGGGTTTATTGATAATTTCATAGTTCAAGGCTTTTTCGTAGCGTGGAAGTCTATTAGATTGGATCTGTTAAGTAGGACCTTAGCTATTTCCCCTATTCCTCTTTTGAATTAGTACTTCGCTGTCTCAGCAACTTGTGGAGATCAACATCGGAGGAAAAAAGAGAGCAGGAGCGACTTGAGAAGCCCATGTATAATGCCGTGCGCCAGGCTGCAGAAGTGCATCGTCAGGTATGAACAAGCCTTTCCTACGCTTACTTACATCATCGTGTCCTTCGTTACGATGGTCGTGATTCGATTTCCACTTTCATACTGAAACTTGGCTCATATATTTCGGCTCTACAGGTCCGTTCTTACATTAAAAAGTATGCAAAACCGGGTGTTGCCATGGTTGATATTTGCGAGACTTTGGAAGACATGGTGCGGAAGCTCATTGTTGAAAATGGCTTGAAAGCTGGCATTGCGTTCCCAACTGGATGCTCGCTGAACTGGTATGAGCGCATACCCTTTACTGCATGAATTTTCTTCCATCATTCTTCCTTTCCATCTACAAATTCTTGGGCCCAATATTTTCTCACTTACGTGTATGTACAGGGTTGCAGCTCACTGGACGCCCAATGCTGGCGATAAGACGGTGCTTCAATACGATGATGTCATGAAGTTGGATTTCGGTACCCAGATTGAAGGTGAGTCAAATGGTTTGTGTTTGAAGTAACAGAGTACAGAGAAAGCGGTGATGAAGTTGGCCAAGGATGCTAACATTTAGTGTCTAGTAAGTATCATTTCTAAGCTTGTCTCAAGAACCAGTATATTTGAGGAGGAGCAATGTATCTTTTCTGCTGGGATGTTTCACTAATTGTAATATGCAAACGGGATGATTTGTTTTGTATTTGTGCTCGTATGTCTGACGAAAATGTCATTTACACTAAGTTGTTATTTGACCTCATGAAACAGGACGTATTATCGATTGCGCCTTCACTGTTGCTTTCAATCCAGTATATGATCCTCTGCTTGAAGCAGCTCGTGAAGCTACGAATACAGGAGTTAGGGTACTGTTCACCACACTGCTCTACCTTGACACTTTAAATCCCACTGAGTTTCTTATTGTAGAGTATCCTTGTTATAGAGGAGATGACTTAAGGTGGGTTTAGGGTTTAAATCTCTCCCTTCAGAGAGTCATCTCGTCTTTTTTTCCGTCTTCACCTGCCCAGTCACTGGCTTCGTCTTGGACCACCCTGTGGGATATTTGACTGGAGACAGCAAGCAGTTATGATACTTCACCCTTGTGCCACTTATTGATGAATTTTGTCGTAACAGGAGGCAGGAATTGACGTCCGGCTGGGAGATATTGGAGCCGCCATACAAGAAGTCATGGAGTCTTATGAAGTGGAAATTGGTGGAAAGACGTTTCAAGGTTAGCGTTTCTTGCAATATGTATGTGGAGCGTTGTGACGATGATTTCGCGGTAAAGAACGTAAGGCAATTATGCTAACGCTGAACATAAGATTTTGCCTAGAGCTAAAAGCTTTTTTCATGCTTCTGAAACCCAGGTTATCATGGTGTCTGGGTATATAGTCCCAGAAACATCATTGTTTGCTTGACAGTATCTGAATTGCCGCAAAGCTAGTGGGAGAACCACGGAACCTCTTACATGAAATAACCATTGCTTGTTCTATTTGTCCAGTCAAAAGTGTGCGGAATCTTAACGGACACAGTATTGGTCCTTATCAAATCCATGCCGGTAAAAGTGTGCCGATTGTCAAGGGCGGGGAGCAAACAAAGATGGAGGAAGGAGAGTTTTTTGCCATCGAGACCTTTGGATCCACCGGTAAGCAATATTTGGACTTGAATTTGTATGCCGAAAGCTATTATGTCCACCAACTTATCTCAACCTGGTGTAAAGAAGAGATTTTGGGGAGATTTGTACCGTGTCCCGCGTACGAATAATTTCGAGGAGGGCCCCGCTACAGCTTTGGCTCAAACATCGCCTCGGAGTGATGGATGCCAAGGGATCAAAGCTTGCCATCTGCATTACGAATGAATTTTCTTCTTGACGCACGGGGTCAAAATGATTCGTCTTTAAGCCAACAGATGACCTTCTGAACATAATGTGAGCTCACTTTGTTTTGGATTACATGACGTATGAATGCAGCGTAGGAGAACTTGAAAACGAGAATCGCCAACTTTGCTCGCCAGCGATGGTTGGTACGACTGTTTCTTATTAACAAACGTGGTCGTGCTGGATGTTTAGGCAAAGGATTTGTGAGGGAAGACTTAGAATGCAGCCATTACATGAAGAATTTCGACGTGGGACATGTGCCACTTAGACTGCAAAAAGCCAAGCAGTTGTTGGGAACCATCGACAAGCACTTCTCTACTCTTGCGTTTTGTAAACGATATTTGGATCGTATTGGAGAGACAAAATACCTTATGGCGTTGAAGAACTTGTGCGATCAAGGTGTTGTCCAGGTATGACATCGTGCATTTTAACGTTTACTCTTGCGCGTACCCAGCTCTCCCGGTACTTACTAACGGCTGTGTTACTGTTTGGCAGGCGTATCCACCTCTTTGTGATATTAAAGGAAGTTATGTTGCCCAATTTGAGCACACTATCTTTCTGCGGCCTACTTGCAAGGAAGTTTTATCTCGAGGAGACGACTTTTAGTTGGTTACAGCGTAGATAGTCATGAATTGCCAAGGACTGTGTGTAAGACGTGTTTTCGGAAACAGAACTCAGTTGTGTCCTCACCTGTTACGAAAAGTCAGTTACAAGTATCCTTTACCTTCTTATATTTTTGGGGACAGACTTTGAAAGTGTTCCTGTATTGTACAAACTGTGTGCACGATAGTGTAAGCTTTGCCACGTAGTTTACTCCATCTAATGGCCTACTGAAGATAGAGGTTGAGACGGTGCTTAGTAGATCACGGTTAGGTAGTGTAATCCTTGGGGAAAAGTTTCGCATTCTCTATTTTTTCATCAGAGAGTTGAATGAACATCTACAAAGTTAGCTGTGACTCCAAGAATGGAGAGATGTTGGTGGAGATTTGGTCAGGAGGCTTTGGATCTCTTTAAATTGAAAATGAACATTTTTTTGTATATCAACGTCAGTAATACTTTAATTAAGGCTGGCCAGCGTGTCATCTGTTTCGAGAGATCTGACATCATTCCGGTGAAATGCATGGAATGTAGTGAGTCTCATTGATTAGAATGCGATGAAAGGTTTTGCGGAAGAGGTTGGTTAAAATTCTGGGGTTGTAAACAAGACCTCAAGCCTTGCGCAGACTATGACAAGTTTCCGAAGGTTGTCTTCAGGTGAAATGCGAAAGTTAATTGTCTATCATAAATGTTTTTTTATTGTTAAATGGTAATAGACCAAGCCCGGGGGACTTAAAGGGTCAAAACGCTTAAAACCACAAAGTAAAGGACAGACCTCAAAGGCCAATACTTAACTAGTGCCGAGAGGACTAGCACGGGAATTAATAATATCCTTGATATAAAAATTTAAATCAAAAGAAACTAAGTATAATAAAGAATAGAAATTCTCCTTATCTATATTATGAACCACCTTAATGTTTTAATCTTCAATGTACTCATCTTCATATAATTTACAAATACGTTCATTCTTATCAATATTAATCCAACATACTTCATCTTCATATAATTTACAAATACGTTCATTCTTATCAATATTAATCCAACATACTTACTCAATTCAAAGTCTATGACATATATTTCTATGTCTAACAATAATATTAATCCAACATACTTACTCAATTCAAAGTCTATGACATACATTTCTATGTCTAACAATAATATTAATCCAACATTCTTACTCAATTCAAAGTCTATGACATACATTTCTATGTCTAACAATAATATTAATCCAACATACTTACTCAATTCAAAGTCTATGACATACATTTCTATGTCTAACAATAATATGACGTAAAGACACATAGATTTTTGCAAGCAGGTAATGCTATTCACAATAAATAAGCACAGAATTCACATAAATTTGATAAAACTGCATCTTGATGCCGCACTTGCTCCAAATGATTTTCAGAAACTCTTACTTCATCCATTCACATAGTGCTATAGGTTGCAAGTCCCAATCGCGTCACATTCCACCTCGTCAAAAACCAAGTTATCACATCCTCTAAATATCCTTTGGCACGTGCGGCACTCAATGCTTGAAGAGGAAGGCGAAAAGCATCAAGAGATCTCAACCTTCTAATGTAAGTGATGTTCAAGTATAGAACTTCAGCATCTAGAGTTAAACAAGCTGTATTGGCAAAAAGAATAGCATATGGAGTTTGGTTTCTCACATCCAATTCTTCTTGTACAAATATCTTTTGCACCCTCTCCACACGCTCCCATCATGTCTTCTTACAACCAAAACCCCACACTTGGAATCCACATAATACTATGGGCTAAACTAAAATTTTGAATAGAAATTTCCTAAGACTTCAAGACACTAGAGTAGCCATTCTACAACAATTTAACAATGAATATAGAGCTCTGTAACCACTTTCTATTCTCTTTTGCACGCAAAATGTCCAACTATAATCATTCAAAAAATCAATGCTTAAATATTTATGATTCTTCACCTCTTCTAATTGTAAATCCTTGTATGATACCTCTCTAATCTAATAAGGTCCGTTCCCACACTTTTGATCAAATTAGAGAGGTTATCAAGTTGAAGAGTTACGATTGTTCATCGGCCATGCAAAACAGCCCAGACCCTTTAGGAAGAAAACTGCTACGCAATTGGGCTTCCTGTATCGGCACAATGAGAAGGCTTGGATGACCGGGCGGCTTTTCCAAGAATGGCTAGAAAACTTAGATGTGGAGATGAAGAACTATGGCAGGTCCATTTTGCTACTTTTGGACAATGCGCCTGGCCACATATCTGTGGAACTTGATAACATTGAGGTATTGTTTTTGCCGCCAAACACCACTTCCAAGGTGCAATCTATGGACGTTGGGATTATCGCAGCATTCAAACGGCGCTATCTAAGACTTTACATCCAGCGTGCAGTTGACATTGAAGAGGCGGGTGGCACAGATCTATATAAACTTGACCAACTGACGGCTATGCAATGAGCAAAAGCAGCTTGGAATGAAATCACTGCTAATATAATCCACAATTGCTTTCGTCATACCAAGGTATCATCTTTGTCAATGATATCTCAAATAATTCAGATTCAAAATGCATCCCATGAAGCCGCAACTGCAATCGATGCTGCTGTCACCTATCCGGACGCAAGCGCAATTGAGCAGAAAATTGCCAAAGGCATATAAGCCATAGGCGTTGCTGCACCATTTGATGTTACAGACTTCATCAATCCTGTATGCGAGAACAAGAGTTCTCTTGAAGAACTCAACGATGAGGAATTGGTGCAAATGACCACTGATGAATCTCTCGAAGATGAGGAGGAAGACGTGGGCGCAGATCCACCTCAGATGTCACGAAATGAAAAGCTACACCATCTCACCGAAGCCATGAAGTTGCTTGACCTCAGCAAACCGTCTCACGCCAGCTGCAATGCTGTACTTCGCACGCTGCAGCGAGAGTTTTGCGCCGCCGAGACATCCCAGGCATCCCAGACCACCTTGGATGCTTTTTTTCAATAATAAAGTTTTACTTGATATTCTCAAAAGTTGTATTAGGTATCGCATATCAAGTTATCCCTATTCACGAAGTCCGTTCCCGAGATTTCTATCAAACTCGGGAGGTTATGAACTTAGTGAGTTTCAATTTAGAGAGGTATCACTGCAATCGAAAGAGAACTTGGATCTAGTGCGCACTATCATGACTTTAGACTTCTCCATATTTAACTCCATTTGATTTTAGGTACAAAAACTAGCCAAAATTTATAGATACTTTTGTAAATTAATTGCATCACGTGATAGTAATATGATATCATCTACATACAATAAAGTTTTGATAACAAACTTTCCAAGCTTGACACCTTCACTATCACATGCCTCCAATCACTCTTCAATATCATCTATAAAAGCTCCAAATAGAGTAGGAGAAAGAGTATAACCTTGAATGACTCAAACGGTATTCAAAACCTCTTTAGTTTGAGAAGTGTTGATCTTGGCTCGAACATAATGACAACGTGGCCACAGCTGCTAGAAGATATGATGGTACTCCAATGACTTGCAACCTTTCCCATAAAAGCTCATGAGGTACAATGTCAAAAGTTTTTTTAAAATCAATGAAGGCGCAACACAAAGCTTTTCCATTGCCCTTCGACTTCTTCCATAAAACACGCAAGACAAAGATATGGTCAATGGTGTTGTATGTAGGGCAAAAACCTGCTCAAAATCGCGTTCTCTTTCGATGACATTCAGTTCACCAATCTGGAGAGATTCAGTCCATCAATTGAATTCACCAATCTGCCAAACAACTTGGCAAAAACATTATTCACCATGATAGTGCGATAGTTTGTCACAAAGTATTTCCTTCCGTACTTAAACAAATTTCTGTAAAGACCAAGTTGAAGTAAAACCATACATAGTAGCATTCTCTAACGCTTTAGTGAGTATTGGTTTAATAACATCTGCTATCCATTTCAAAAGTTCAGTAAAGAGAACATTCAAATCCTCCAATTTACCATTTATTAATTTTTTGACTTGAATCATTAACTCTGATTCAGAAAATAACCCATATATACCTTCACAACAAGACATTGATGCAGCGTTGGAAAAGAAATAAAGCTTTTCAGCAAAGACAATCAAACTCTTGGGATCAAGAGTAGGTTTAGAAGATCGTACGACTAACTGTCTCCAAAATGATTTGAGCTTCTCCATCAACTCCTTTGTCAAGGATTCTTGCTTCGTCATCAAAAAAGCTCGTTTCTTAGACTTCACCAAATCTTTGTAAAGCCTTGTCAAGATAAGCCGAATTTGGAGATCAAAAGACTTGTCAACCGATCTCATACTTGCTTGCTTGCAATCAAAGTCAAACCATCCATTGCAAGGAAGATCCCTAGCTCTCCGATCCTTGTGGCGCAAAAAGAACTTAGAAACAGTGTCTTTAAGCAATTCTGTGAGTTGTCCATTCGCTGTATGTGGATCAAGTCACCATGAAGTGTGTATCAATAGGTTTTGAAAATGTAGCATGTAATGCTCTTTCTTAGAAGAATCTAAACGAAACTTGGGAGAAGCTAAAGTAGAATGGCATGGAGAGAGAGAGTGATTGTTTTTGACAACAAAAAAGTAAATAAGAGAATTACATGATTTGATTCTGGCTAAGGTTCTAGAATATCAAATTTTAACATAAGAGAGCTACAATTATTGATTATCTTCTATATAGAAGATAATCAATAGTGCTAACATCTGTAGAAAAAAAACACATATTGGAAAGGAAATTGAAAAAGAGAGAGATACTGTTGAGAACTTTCAAATTACATGTGGCTCCAAAGGTTAGAAAGTGTTTTGTCAAAGGATTGGTACAAGTATTAGAAGAGTTTCTAGACCACATACTATCTTCAAGTTCTTCAAAGGAAGGAGAAGTCAAGAGATCATCAACTTGGATAAATCGTGCACAACGTATTAGAGCATTGAAATCTCCAACAAGAAAAACTTCACCTTTGCTCTTATAATTGAAAACATATCCTATAAGTTGATGGAATGATTTACTCCTATTGCAAGTGCGTATGGAGTAGATAGACATAGACAATGGTGCAAAGTAACAAACAACCAAATAACTATAAGATCTTTCAGCCAATCCAAGACGAAGACAATGATATTGAAATCCAATATCCTGAACTTCTAGATGTATCACAAGTAGACTTTGAGACTTGATGAAAGTAGCAATACCGCTATAGCCTCTTCATGCTCATTGACTTCTATGATTCCAAGTGTATCCTACCAAATTAAACCCTGGTATCTCTTCAATAGTGTTGCTCTCATGTTTCCACGTCTCTTCGATGATGATGTTCGCCATCTTTCAAATCGGATCAGCACTCACATACTTTGTTGTAAAAAGATCTCTTATATTCCACATTAACACCCTCAAGCTCTTGGATTGCTAGGTTGATGATTGCCTTTTTTGTTGAATGAAAATTGTTTGTTCATCACGGAGATAAGCAAAAAATCATGCATCTTGAGCTTCTTTCACTTTT